TTTCTCTACCTTCCCCGTTTATATTTCTCTCATTCGTTTCTCTCATTTCTCCACGCATCACGTCACGTCACGGCTGCATCCCCACGAGAGAGTCGACCGCGGCCCCCTTTATATTTCCAATCCCGGGGCAGATTGATTTCTGCTGGGGTCAAACAGGAGTTGGTTGCGCTTCCTGAGGCCTCGGCTGCTCGCCTCAGCAGATACCGGAGGCCTGAGCGCGCGCGCGGCGACCGGCGATCGTTCGCAGTTCATTTGGAAATCCGCGCAGATCGTTTGTTTTCCAGCTAAATTGTTTTGGAGCGCAACCGAGAGAGTATCCATTAACCAGCGCTCCCCCATCAGCTCTTTTAATTTTTCTTTTTCAGCCCTCCTCCTCCTCCTGCATCCCTCTCTCTATTCAGCCCAGTATTATTCATATTCCTGTGTGCACCTGGTGGAAGACACGCACACACACGCACACACACATACAGTATATGCAACAGTAGCTCATTAAAAACTATAGGCCTGAACCACAGCAACACTTTATAACAGCAGAAACGCAGCCAAGAAAAAAGCGCATAATAAGCTCAGGGCGCTGAACCGGGAATTCTTCACGGAGAGAGTTCAGTCATAAATTAGCTGCAGCATTTGTGAATTTTCCTGAAGTGATACAACAAGCTTGTATTCATCTAACAGAAGCAATACAAAGAGAAAAAAAGGAAAAGCACACAACTTGAGCAGGATCAGAGGAAGCAGCAGGACCGATCCAAACCCGTGCGTAAAGACGCAGCAGCGGTCAGATTGAAACAGATGGAGAGGACAGGCCTTCATGACACCAACACAGCAAACGGAGGAGACGGAAACAGTTGCACAAACTCGGGAGAAAACAACACAAGCCCGTCAGCGTGCAAACACACACACTCTCCTACAGTCACACACACACCAAATGCCCCCTTCGCCTGACCTCGCCAAATGCGCAGGGGGCAATAAAACCATAAAAACGCCACCGAGGCATCAGACACCGAGCAGAGAGACATTCAGAGGAGACCAAATGAAGTTTCCAGGCCTCTTACCTTCTCCGGCACGTGAGCAGACCTGCGGGCCATCTTCCTCCGCGCGCTGACGGCTCTCTGACTGTTTGTTGGAGTTTCTTTGGACGGATTTTCTTCTTTCCAACGAGGAGGAAAAAAGTTTTTTTTCTTCTTATACTAGGATACTTGTGGGGTGTAAAAAATAGCTCGCTGATGGGTGGAGAGGGGAGGTGTGTGTATGTGTGTGTGTGTGTGTGAGTGTGAGGGAGGGGGGAGTGGAGGTGGAGGGGGGGGTTTCCAAGTGTCTTCCAAGACGTCTTCTTCTCCTCCTCCTCCTCTGTCTGTCTCTCTCTCCTGGCAGAAGGGGTCTTGTGTGTGGCTGCCGGATGACAATAGAAGAAGAAGAAGAAGTGTTTAAAGAAGAACAAGTGATTAATGATTTCTTCTTGTATAATTCTCGCATTTTTCTTGAGGTGCCGTCCCCTCTGTCCTGTCCGCAAAATAATGGCGGTGAACTTTTTCAGTGGGGATGGAGGGGTGTGTGGTGGGGGGGCATCCTCACAGAAATCTGCTCCCATTCACAGAAGCAGCAGAAGGCCGCGGCTGATAAAGGAGCCTCACAGAGAATAAGGATTCCTTATTGTGCACGTGTCACCCCGCGCGCAAATTCATTTATTTCACCTCGGACTGCCGGTGCTGAGGGGCTCCGGGGGTTATTGTGCAGAAACACACACATATTGGTGTGGGGGGTGTCCGTTCAGACGCTCTAATATCGGACAATAGGTGTGTGTAGCGAAATTACAGCATATGGACACAAATATTATCTGGTGGAGCAGCCTGAGGGTGTGTGTTTGTGCGTGTTTGTGCGTGTTTGTGAGGAGGGTATTAAAGCTGAGAGAGTTCACTATATAAAGAGGAGAAAAAAATCCATGTGCGGCTGAAATTAATGCACAGACTGCGGTGAAAATGTGCAGTTTGGAGCGGAGTTTTAATAGGAAGAGAAATCAGATAAAAGCGCGAAAATGGATTTTTGGAGAGGAGAGAGAAACGGCGAGAACGTCTGAGAGGACATGTCAGGCTTTTATTCTGGCGCAGTGTGCGTGTTAGTGTGTGTTAGTGTGTGTGTGCGTGTGTACAGTTTGAGAGGAGGTCGGTTTCTGCGCTGGGGGAGCCTTTCATAAACAGGAAGAAAACAGATAAATGGGCAGTGGGAGTCTCTGTGGCAAGAGGCCCAGGGAGAAATCAACCAACAAGTAATAGGGAATCTTCTCTGGGCCGAGGAATACGAGCGGACCAATTTGGGGGGCACACTTTTTTTGTTTAAAGTTCATCGGGAGGAATGCTATTTTCTCGTGGCCCCCTCCCCTCCTGCTCTATATTTTTCGATACCTGCTCTAAGAAAAGAAAATGAAAATTAATACGGGAGCCGCGCCTTACAAAAGAAGCCATTCGTCTTGTTGATTATCTATTTGGTTGTCAGGGTTTGAGCTATGGCGCCGGCCCGCTCCCCTTTTTGTAATATATAAAAAATAAAACACACACATGCGCGTGCAGCCTCGCTCCAGAAAACACTGATATGAGGGAGAAAAAAACGGTTGTGCAAGAATTACACTCATTAAAGCATTAAAAGACCACGAACCGAAAAACTATTTAACGTTTTTTTTTTTTTTTACTCTGAAGAACCAGAACAGGAAGGAGAGAGAGGGGGGGGGGGGGGTCCTATCCTCTGAGCAGGGCCGGTGCAGGCGCGTGTGAGCAGCCGTTAAATTAACGGGAGAACGAGAGTGAAACGGAGGGACGGTTTGTGATTTAAAACGAGATTACAGGACGTAATGTACCAAGATCAGTCAGGGCCGGGACGAATTAATCATCGGAGGCTGCTGATTCCTGCAGACAGGTCTCTGTGTGTGCGCGCGCGTTTGGAGCCAAAACCAACAGTGAAATTAAATGAAATTATTTATTGTATATGTGTGTGTGCGCGTGAATGCATGATTTAAACCCACGTGTAAATGTTAGGAAACAGAAAAAAACGAGTATTCTACAAGCAGAAAAACGTGAATTATTTTACAGATGGTTCAGAACTGATCAAGAAATGACAATTAAAATAAACATAATGAGGAAAAAAACGATAAGTCCAACCGTTTTAGTCTTTGACCAAATTTTCCCTATTTAAGAAAAACGGGAACAAAGAGAAAACAGCCGGACAGGTCAGTCTCCTTTTTTAACCATTTATTTAAATTTCTATGAACTATTTACAAATAATAGGAAGGACACTGAGGAGGCAGAAGCAGAGAGAGAGAGAGAGGAGCAACTTACATATCAGAGGAGGAGGTAACACATGTTCAACAATATACCATCAACGTTTTCTCATCATCATCATCATCATCATAGAAACGGCTCTTTGGAATGTAAATAAAATAATAACATCAATTTTCAAACACCTGCAGAATTAAAGAGCTAGAAAGTGGCACAAAGTGAGAGAAGAGAGAAAAAGAAGAAGGAGGAGGAGAAGAGGGAGTGTGCGCATTTCATGTGCGAGGAAAACAAAGAAAATCAACACTCAGATCAGACATGCGAGGAGAGGAAGAAAACAAAGAAAAGCTCCTTTTTCTCCAAAACGTCTCCGGCCACAACATCGTTTATAATTAAATTACATTTGTTTAAAATTTTCCACATACAGGAAAGGAAGAGCGCTTTTATTGTGTTGCAGTAATAATAATTATTATTATTTTAATAAGTCGTCACACAATTTCAAAAATATAAAAGCTCGAAAAACTGTCACTTCAATAACCGAGCAGGAGAAAAGAGCAAAAAGAGGATAAAAATATATTTATGTCAGTACAACTGAGGTAATAGGTAGTACATTATAGTGCTGCTGCTGCTGCTGCGTTTATAACGTGTTTGCTACTTGTACCAGGATTTGGTTTGAATATTATTATTATTGTTCTTTAATTAGGCAGCTTTAGAATCATAATAAACCCTGTTTGTAGTGGAAAATACCTTAAAATTCACGTGATTTCACCTGACGCTCCCTGTCAGAGTGAACAACGAACAAAAACACGAAAACATGAACAATCAGCGGACCACAGAACAAAAAATAAACGACTTCTCTTCTTTCGTCTCGTTTTACAATCAACACTGAATTTTTTAAAATAACTAAAATCAACATTTGAAAAAGCTATATTTGTTTTTTCTTTATACCGTGAACCAAAGTACAAATAATAATAATAATAATAACAGTCATAATTACAATAACATGGCGTCTTTCTGGATCATTCCGGGGGTTATAGAGGATGTTAGAGTAGATATGAGTGTGTGTGTGTGTGTGTGTGTGAATACTGCTCGTGACGAAACGATGCTTCCATTTATTACACGCGCGTGTGAGTGGGGTGGGGGGGTACAGGTTTGGGGAGGGTGTGGGGTGTGGGGGGGGGGGTAATGGGCAGAGCCACGGTTCACCCCTTTAGCTTTGTACCCGCAGAGTAAACATGACAAATGGGGCCCGAGTTTGGCATGATTAAAGATGAAAACGAGGATCCATCTTCACCAAAATAAAAGTCTGAGAAAGATAGAGAGAGAGAGAGAGGGAAAAAATACATGCACGCACGTACGCGGGCACATTATCCAGAGAGAGAGAGAGAGAGAGAGAGAGAGAGAGGTATAAAAGAGAGAAATGTAGAAATCAGAGAGAGGAAGGATGGAGGAGGATGAAGCAGAGAAGTTGTAGCATCGTTTTCTTTCTTCTTCTTCCTCCTTTTTGTTCATTTTTTTATGAATGGGAACCCCCCTCGACCCCTCCCCTCCCACGTCAGAACGTCATATTATTATAATAATAATGTGTAGTAACATCAGCATAGATCAGGGCTCAACATCCCTCCTCCCTTCCTCCAGAGCAAAGCCTTAATCCGGTCCAAAGTGCGGCTCCGGTGGTTACAAGCGTCGGCGATCAGTTCGGACTCCCGGGGCCCGCAAAGAGAGCTCCAAACCGGGCTATAGAGGTCCGGAGCGGCTCTGGGAGTTTGTGTTGCTGCCGGTTCCGGAGCGGACCTTGGTGTTGGGCAGCTTGTGGTCCTTCTTCCACTTCATCCTCCGGTTCTGGAACCAGATCTTGATCTGCCGTTCTGATAGGCACAGCGTGTGCGCGATCTCCACCCTGCGCCTGCGCGTCAGGTACCGGTTGTAGTGGAACTCCTTCTCCAGCTCAAGAACCTGCTGGCGCGTGTAGGCCGTCCGCGAGCGTTTCGGTTCTCCCCCCGTGTAGTTTGAGCTCACTGTTGGAGAACAAAGGAGGTGAAGTGATCAATACAAGGAGGGAGGAGAGGAGACGAGCAGGAAGACAACAGAAACACTGAATTATTATTTAATATCATGTAACTGTGAGGAAGTCAGGGTGGCCTCAATTATATTAAACTTATATCTTATTATTTACTATAAATAAAATCATCGTTAACTCTAATATTAAACTTGAGTTTTACACTAATATGATACAAAAGACGTGTACAGGACATTAGTAACTCAAAATAATGGATAAATTACTTCAAATTAAAATAATTATATTAAAAAAATCACCATCAGTAATTAGAAACTAATAAATAAATGTTGCTACACAGTAAAAAATAGAAAACTACGACATGAAAACACATTTTAACAGTAAGTTACTGTCGTTTATTCTAACATATACAATAAACGTAACATATATATATATATATATATATATATATATATATATAATATCTAACATAAATATCAATCTGTATATATCATATAAGGTTTCAGTTACTGAGGTGCTCTGCATAAAAAAACCCATCATAAAAAATAGAAAATTACGACATTAAGACACATTTTAACGGCACGTTTATTCTAACATAAATCTAAATCTGTATATCTCATATGTAGTTTCAGTTACTGAGGTGTTCTGCATTAAAAAAAAACATCATCAGTAGTTAAAGGGTAATAAAAACGTTACTATAGTAGAAAAAATAGAAAATTAGGAGGTGAAAACACATTTTAACGGAACTTTGCTGTCGTTTATTCTAACATAAACATAAATCTGTGTATCTCATATTGAATCTCGGTTACTGGGGTCCGCCTTTAAAAGAGGAGACCTCTCCGTGTAACTCAGAGAAATAAATCCCTGACCCCCGCGCGTGGACCCACAGTGAGCAGCACAAAATGGCTGTAACCTTGGCAGACCCTCTGAGGCTCACGCTCTCTCTCCTCTTTAATCTCTTTTTCTCTCTCCTCTTTCAGCTGAACTCGTTTTTTTTTCACTCTTTTTCTCTCAGAATCTGCAGCTTCTTCTTCTCTTTTTTTTCTCTCTCTCACATGTTGTCAGGTGTCACTTCAGGCCCTGCGGCGCTGAGAATCCTCCCCGCACAGCCAGCCCTGACGCCGGGTGTCCAAATGTTGTGATTTGGGGGGGCAAATCTGGGCCACGTCCATCTGACACGTTTGCGCGTAAAAATACAGATGCGTCAAAAGATCACGAGTGGGAACGCTGTTTTCTATTCACGCGCCCTGAGCAGAGCCAGCTTTGTCTGAACTGGGTAAACTGGTGGAGAATAAAGGTGGTGGTGGAGGTTGAGGGGGGGTGTAGCAGATACACGACGGCACTGAATGGCTGCCTGGGTAATGATTCAACAAATCCTCCAAACTACAAGCAGAGCAGCAGCCAAACACGATCCTACAAACACAGAGAGAGAGAGAGAGAGAGGGAGCAGCCAGGATAGATATATGGAATATAGATTCTCTTACCCTGTAAACAGATTCACGCGTTTCGGTGAGTTTGTGAAAGTGGCATTTGGTCGCCGCGTGGAAATACGCCCCAGTACTCCCAGTATAGGCAGTAGGCTGTGAGTCTATTACACCATCAGAGAGGAGCCATAATAGACTGGAGCTGCTCGGCTCTGCATTAGTGTTTTACGGCTGACTCCATAAACATGAATATTTCAGCTGCCATAAAACTTTCCCTCCCCTGAACAACGAGAGGGGAAGGAAGGCTCGACAGAGTAAAGTACACCGTTTATACAAGCAGACCACTTAAAATCAAATTACAGAAGCATAAAATCTAACTTATGGGCTCGGCTGAGTTGTCATAAGGCGAAGAATCAGAGCAGACGAGCCGGAGATCGGACTTCAAAAGGCACCTCAGCGGAGAGGTGTAATAAAAATTTATGGAGGGTGTAATTATATTGGCCCTGCAAACAGACGATCGTAAATCTTGACCCAAGGGCTACTCGTGTTCTTCTAACAGAAACAGGGAGGGGAAGCCGTAGATCCTGACGGTGGACACCTAGCTGAGCTGAGCTGAGCTGAGCTGAGCGCACAAAGGCAGCGAGGCAGAGAAGAGAGGGGAGAGAGAGGAACAAGTTTGCATGCAGACTCACTCACCGATGTTTACATGGACTTTCTTCATCCACGGGTACACCACCGGGTCCTTACGGGTGCCGGACGGGGACGAAGTGCTTTGGCTGTGGGGCGTTTGACCGCAGGACGGAGGGGGAGGCGGGCTGGGTGTCACCGAGTTGCAGCGGTGGCTCTGCTCCGGGACGGGGGTGGGCTGCAGCCCGGCTGGGGGGAGAACGTGAACCCGCGGGGACATCACCACCGAGGCGGGCTGCCCCGAGCGCTGGCACGGCGTGTAGGGCGGCTCGGCTCGCTGCTGCTGCTGCGGCTGCGGAGGAGGAGGAGGCGGCGGAGGGTGGTGGCTCTGGTGGTGCGGGTGTTGGTGGTGTTGATGGTGGTGATAGAGAGAGTCCGGCTGGAAGGCGGCGGGCTCCTGCCGCTGGGAGCTGTAGTAGTCCGGAGAGTGGCTGGGCAGATAGTCGCTCTGAGAGTACTCCTCACACGGGGGGAACTTGGGGTCCACATAGTTGGAGTTGATCAAATAGGAGCTCATGGCCATTAATTTCAGTCTTTTTGTGGAATTGCACCTACTCTGAAAATATATAACTAAAATTTATATCTCATCCCTTTACTCTTCGGTTATTCCTGTTCCGTTGAACCCTCCTACTTTTCTGTCAAGTGAACAAAGTTAAGAAGCCACGTGACAGCGGCCGGCCAATGGCGCGCCTCCAGGACGGACCCCGGATATGGAAATGGGATTAGGCACATACGGCCCCCGCACGCGCATCTTCATATGGCCTCACTTTGTGGGCATTCAATACTTTCCCCTCTCCTCGCGCCCCGTCCCCTCTCTCTCTCCCCCTCTCTCTCCCTCTCCGTGGATGTCTCTCAGCGCCACATGTTTTACGCACGCCGTCCAAAAGCAGCCGGAGAATCACAACAATAACAGCGTCAGTGCGCGCGCACGGACACACACGAGCGGCAGAGTTCAGTCCGGATGACAAGTCCCCCCTGTTCCCCCCATCAAAAAAAATCTACCGAGAAAAAATAAAGAAAACAGAAAAAAAGAAAGAAAGAAAAAAAAAAACGCTCCCGGGGATTTAAAGTGGCGCCTCCCTCTGCATGTATGTGGACTTGGGTGTGTGCGTGTGCGTGTGTGTGTGTGTACTTCTCTTTTTTTTCTTCTTCTCTTCTTTCCAAATCGCTAATAACGGGAGTGGGAGCGCGCGGCCACCCAGCAGCTCCGTGTCAGAGATAAATCTGGACTTGTTTAGGATCGATAGAAAATTCATCAACTAATTCAAGTTCCACGCGCTCCTAAATCACCAGCAGACCTTTGCATTAGGGACGAGAAACCCGCACCTTTTTAGTCCAACACGCGCACATTCCACATTCAAACTCCCCACGCATGTTAATTCAGACTCAGACTCAGACAGAGAGAGAGAGAGAGGGAGAGTCAGTGCATGAATAAACAAGAACCAGGATCAACATCCCCGGAATAACAACAAGTCCACATGCAGGGTCCAGAATGTTCGGCTGAGTTTGCCCTTCAGCACAGAGACAGAGGCACGAGCCTTTTGATTTTTACTCTTATAAAATATTCACAGACACAGACACAGACACAGACACAGACAGAGAGGAGCTGCTGCTGCTGCAAACTTTGACATTTTTATTTTAACGATTCAGAGAAAATTTCAGACACAGACTCAGAATTAAACTCCACAGAAGGCCTCGAGTCTCAGGAAACAAACAAACAAATAAACAAACACTGATTCATAATTATTATTTTCCTCCAGCATCCTCCCTGAACTGGTCCCAGTCTAAACTGGTTTCAGTCTAAACTGGTCTTAGTTTAAACTGGTCTTGGTCTGAACTGGTCTCAGTCTGACTCTCTGCCTTCAGGAATTTCCGTGAGCAGCATCTCAAACCCTCCTGAACTGTAAACACCGCAGTGGACCGAGCAGAACAGACTCCTTAATCAGAGAGAGTGTCGTGCTCGTGCTCGTGCACTTTCTCAACTGTTATCAGGACTTCAGGTGCACGCACGCACACACAAACACACACACACACACACACACAAACACACGCACAAGATGATGGAGATATCCAGGTCCTTTGTTTCCAGAAAATTGACCGTCTCTAAATCGACCCCCCCCCCCCCTCCTCTAAGACGAACAGTCGAGCTGACTGATCATTTTTCAACCAGACAAATAATAAATAAAAAGAGTCCAATCCAACCCGGAGTTGGCCTTTTAGACCGGGATCGAACTAAAGTACAGAAACACTTTAAACGAGTTTTCATCACTTTGGAGGAGAAGGACTCACTGCGCAGGCGCGTTAAAATAAACTAAAAACAAAAACAGACATTTACGCACTAAAATAATCCAACAATCATTAAAAACATTTGATTTCAGAGCTTTTAAAGCCTCACATTTCTCTGTAAACATGACTGTGAAGCGCGGGCCGCTCTCTCAGGCCTCTCCTCGGTCTTTGATCCATCGCTGCCGGAGTGTTTAAATCCACTATATACTCCCCTAGAAGCGAATTTGTGATTGTTTTAATGATTTTTACACAAATCCGGATCTACAGGGTAGATATAGAAGACAGCGGCTCTCTGGAGGCACGCACACACACGCACACACACGCGCACACACCTTTTATTGCTTCATAAAGTCCCTGTCTCAGCCCACACTGGAAAATCTCCATCCATCTGTACTGTCTCCGACCCCTGACCCCCTCCTCACTGCTGGGGGGCATCAGGGAAATAGAGCTGTACGAGTTTCTGTAAAAACGGAGGTAAAATTACGAGATAGAAATAAAATCAGAGGAGATTTAATCCGGATTAAAAACGTGCAGGTGAGGACAGGTGAGGTCAAACCTGATTTAGAGGTTAATTCTGATTATATTTATGAGTGATGGATTTTTTTAAGAAGCAGGTGAAACTAAATTAAAAAAAAATCTAAACAAAAGGCCTCCTCTGATTTCTTTAAACGGACAGTAAACAGATTTAAAAATTCGTTTCTGGAAACGTGAAATATTCGATAAAATACGATTAAAAAACGTTAAAATTTTTAAATAAATTAGTCATGAAAAATAAAATATTATAGTCTCCAAATTGAAAACACTGAACGGTCCACTGCAGTGTGTTTTTTTCCCGTCAGGCCTTAATAGAATTTTCTGCACCATCATCAGTTTTATAAATCTGAACACTCCTCTGGCCTTTTTCCATCCTCCTTTTACAAGAGAAAAAGGTTTTTTTTTTATCCCAAATCAAATAATCCCCAAACTTTCCATCCCCGTAATGACCTCCACCCCAAACTTAACTAGGATTCACTTTAATTATCCAACAGTAGAAGAAGAGGAGGAGGAGGAGGAGGAGGAGGAAGAGTTGGCAGCTGTAAGCGCGGAGCGATCGAGCAGAATGAACACAAGTTAATGAAAGAAAAGACAGATCGGCTGGCAGCAGAAACACGCGGCCATCCCAATAATTCTGCAGCTTCTGACTGAAGAATGGATGGAGCGATGAATAAATGAATAAATGTCCCTCCACTGAGCGAAATGAAATGGAGTCTGTCTCTGAAAGTCTGATTTAACCGGATTAAAACGGGACTCAAACACACACAGACACACGAACACAGAGAGAAAGAGGGGCGAGATTACTGCACTCCTGTCTTTCTTTCTTTCTTTCTTTCTTTCTTTCTTTCTTTCTTTCTTTCTTTCTTTCTTTCTTTCTTTCTTTCTTTCTTTCTTGTGCGTAAATTCAGGCCTTTAAAAATCAGACCCACTGAGAGTAGAAATGGAATCAGGATGGATCAGTAAATGGGGAGGAGGAGGTTGTTTGGATGCATTTTTCCGGTGTTTTTGCTTCTTTATTCTCTGTAATTTTCTCTCCGAGCTGCAGCTCCTCATTGATTTTGTGACACCGACACTCCCTCCGCGCTGCAGGCAATATCGCTGTTCACCGTTTCCTCCCAAAGTTGCTCATGAATCACCAGAACGGACAGCAGAAGCGTTTAACACACACACAGAGAGAGAGAGAAAGAGCCTCTCCTCCTCTTTCTTATTTTCTGATTTTTACCCCCTAAGTCTTTTTTTCTGCTCGCAGGTGTGGGCGTGCCCCTCACCTTGACCTCGCACCATTCTGCGGGTCATCTCAGGTATCGATCAAGGTGTGTTGAGTCTGACTGCAGCACTTCCCTTCACCTCTGTCAAGTTTGTCAGCAGCAGCCTTTCAGGGCGCGGAGGGAGGGAGCCTTTTGTTTCCGGCTGCAGGTGGAGGTCAGTGCGTAAAACAAAGATCCTCGAGAGATTTTTGAAGATGATATGGAGCAAAAAAAAAAACCAGGGTAGATTTTTTTGGTTCGTGCGTAAAACTAAGATCCTCAGGAGATCAACTCTGAGATTTTTTAGGATGATTTGGAGCCAAAGAAAAAGAAACAGCAGATAGGTTTGTTTGGTTCGTGCGTAATGGCCACACACGTTTATTTACATTTCCAGAAACCTCCTTTAGCCTCTTCAGGAAAATACCATCCTTGATTTTTTTAGAAATTATAAATGAGCCATGAATTCAAACGCCTGAAAAACCAGCCTGTCCAGTTTTTCACACACACAAACAGTCAAACAGTCAGTCAGCTGCAGCAGAGTTAAATAAAAACACGGGTGTCCTCTCCTCTCCTGTAACGTTTCGCCGTGGAAAGAAAAAGGTCACCGCATCTGGATTTACACACGTGACTGTTTTATTGCGGGTCAGTTCCGTTTACAAACACTCACACTCGAGTTAAAGAGGGAGGAGGAGGTGAAAATAAAAAGCAATAAAATATTCAGGCAGCGGAAGAGAGAGCCGAGGTGAATAAATAACTTTAAAGTACCTCTGAGAAAATTTACGACCTTTTCTTGAAGCAGTTTGTCCATCAGAGAGTCTCTGTTGTCAGTGAAGCTGCAGACACATCCTCACACACTCACTCTGGGGTGACTGGGATTATAATCTGGTGAAATTTGGATTAATTTAAACAAATTTAAGGTAAGAGTTCGTCTTTTTTAGCAGCAGAAAAACGAGAAAAAGCCTCAAAATAGCGACGAGTCAACCCGTTAAATTCTCCTGTTTGTTTTCATCGTTTTAAATTATAATAATGGAAAAATAAATCCAGGAGAGGCCTCAGGTTTGAGTGCGGACTCAAACGGACCATATTGAAGGGTTAAACGGCGCCATTATGTGCAGCAGCCGGACTTGTCAGAGTTCTGAAATATGACCGAGGTGAAAAAGCTGCAGGGACACAGACGCAGAAGAGAAATGTGGTTTTACTCCTTTTGTGCAGTTTGAAAAATACATCTCTGCTGTCCGCTCCTCTGGTTATTGTCATGCAAAATATCACGGGGAGGAAAATAAAGCAGCCGAGCTCAGGCCTGTCCCTCCGCGGAGAGAGAGAGGATTAATGTCGAGGTGTTTTCTGGGGCTCGAGCTTTGTGCGCAGAGAAATGACTTTCAATGGTTTCATAATGTGAAGGAAAGAGAGAAAGAAATAAGATTAAATGTCCACAAAAACACCCCACAGTTAACCTTTTACAAACCGACAATTACGCACGAAAATCAGAGTAAAAACGCAGCACCGTGATGTTTAATCTACGAGAATAAACATCCAAATAAACAGGATTAAAATGAGGATTATGGATGAGACGCTGAGCAGCATGATCACAATATTTGTGTTGATAGAAATAAAAGAAAACACTCCCCGTGGAATCAGAGCCTTTCACTCCACAGACAGTTTATAAATGTAGAAACAGCAAATCAGCAGAACAGCAGCAGCACGAGCACAGAGCTAAATCAACAGAGTTTATTAAACACACAACAGCAACCGAGAGCAGAAAACCACAAATCCGGACATGAAGAGAGAGTCTAAACAAACTCCAGCTGAGCGACAACATCTCCGAAATCATCCTGCTTTAAAATTCAGCAAAAACACAAATTTAACAACAAAAAGCAGCCGGAGAATCAGCTGATCGATCAGCTGATCAGGAAGAAACACAAGTTAGAAAATCATCAGAAAGACTTCAGGGGGAGAAAGTAGTCCAGCGTGACCTTTAACCTCCCACTGACCACGACCTCGCCTTCACCCTATAGGCAGCTGTGGACTAAAGATAGTGTGTGTGTGTGTGTGTGTGTGTGTGTGTGTGTGTGTGTGTGTGTGTGTGTGTGTGTATCTATCTATCTATCTATCTCATACTGGAGGTACACTGACTGAGCTTTTAATGGAGACACTGTTCGATTAATCGATCAGAAATAATAATCGATGAAGTCACTCTGAACTGAACTGTAAAAAAAAAAAAAAAACAGGAGGAAGAGGAAGAGGAGGGGGGGGGGCAGCTCCTGCAACACGTGGTCTGCCCCTTCCTCCCAGCGTGGGCAAAGCACCTGCCACACACACACACACACACACACACACACACACACACACACACACACACACACACACACGTACACACACCAAATGCAAATGAGCAGCTTCCTCTCCTACAGTGAGATTTTTTGTGTACTCACTCCTCTGGAGCTCGTGAATCCTCCTCTCCTTCCTCGCGCCGTCCTCACCTCCAGTCCAACCATGTTCCTCGTGATCATTTCTTCTTCTTCTTCTGCGCTTCTCTTCTTCTCCTCTGTTTAATCCTTCAGCTCTGCTCTCTTCCTCCTCTTCCTCCTCTACCTTTCTTCCCCTCTTCCTCCGACGCCACAGGTTATGTGACCTCTCCGTGAATCTTCTTCGTGTATCTTAAAGAAAAGAAAAAAAAAGAAAAGGCGCTGTCATTTCCGCGGACACCCCCGCTCACACGCACACGCGCTCAGACGCGCATCTCTCGCTCTCTCCGGTGTGCGTAAACACGGCTGTTTAATCCGAACCGAATCCGCCTCTGAATGAACCTCTCATCAGGACGGATTAACGTCGGTAATCCAGCAGAAACCCGAACCTCAGAGCTCCGGACGCGCCGCGCGTGAAAAGCAGATCAAACCTGCGTGAAATGACACGAGGAAACCCCCCACCCACCCTCTCCACCTCACCGGTGACCGTGCCGCGTGTTTCCCGGTGTTAAAGCGAGCGGTTCGGGGGCTGAGGGAGCGCGAGCCGGGCTGCCGTGGAGAGTGTTGGCTCTTTAAGGCATTAAGTGTGTTGTGTGTGTGTGCACGGACTCAAGTTTTCAAATTAATCTGCCACTTTGGCACACTCTTTGTTTAACGGGCGAGGCGTGTCACCCCGCGTCCCCGGTACACATTTTAATATTGGAGAGACGCGCTGACCTCCCGTTCACCCCGAGCACAGCAGAACACCCCCACCCTCTCCTCTCCTACTCACCCTTACTCACCCCCTCCCCTTTCCACACCCTTTCTTTCTTTATGCCATTTCCACCTCTCTCTCTCTCTCTCTCCCTCTCTCTCTTTGCTCCCATCTTTCTGTCATTTTGTCCTCTCTCTCTCTCTCTCTCGCTCTCTCTCTCTCTCTCTCTCTCTCTCCGTCAGACTAAATCGAGTTGGAGTCATTACTTTGAAGAAAAATGGTCAGTAGAGTAGAAGGAGAGAGGGAGGGGGTCTCTCTCTCTCTCTCTCAGATTTTTTCTCCTTTTCTTCCAGGATCATTTCTCCTCTTCCTTTTGTTGTATAAATATAAATGACACCCGCGCACACGCTGACATGAGAGCCCGCAGCAGAAAACCGCAGCATCACTTCACAGGCTTATATTCATCAAGTATTTCACGAACTAATGTGTTGCATCGCAGCTTAGTTGGTATAAACAACCGTTTTGAGTCTACTTAGCGGGCTTTGGAGCGGACACAGAGGTATCAGGTGGATTTATATCGATGTTATTCGACCCTCTGCAGCCTGAAGAGAGATTTTTATCGAGTTAACTGCAGCCATATGTCCACACTTTTCCCTGATCATTTTACTTCTTCTTATACTGTCAATGGATTTCATCCTTTCCCCCCAAATACAGACGTGTATCAGCATCGATTCTGCACTTTCACTCATTTTTATATTCTGTGTTTTTTTTTCTCTCTGAATGGATTTTATCTCCAAATAGAGATGAATAGAGTGGGATCGGTGTGTGACATTTTAGAGGGTCCGTGCATGTGCAAATGGTATAGATTATTAGAACTCCTGTCACGCGTAACGCATGCGCGCTGCAACTTAAATTGAATTGATTCGCTGAACTCGGGATGAACCTTTGGAGAAAGATGGAATCTGTAACGTAGTTATTCAGCCATTACCTTTTCTCTGCTCTCTGTGTGTGCGCGTGTGTGTGCGTGTGTGAGGGGTGGCTTCATGCTCAGGTCGATAAATAGATTACATTTTTACTGGATTATAATTTTCCTCTTCTAATTTCTCCTTTTTTTCCCTGCCACATCTAAAAAACACACACACAAAAAAACGACAAAAAACACGTTTTTTTTTTTACTGTTTTTGTTTTTTTTTAGGCCAAAATATTTTCCCAAATCAATTAAAATGAACAGCTGGATGTTCGATTATTGGCAGCCAAAATTAGACTGGAAAAAGCAGAATGAATTTTATCAGTTTTAGATTTTCTTTTGATTTTTTAAAATAATTTTTCTTATTTTCTGTCCTACCGTTTTTTCACATTTTTAAAATGTATTTTCCAAGAAGGAAACGTGTTGCCATAATTTACCTTCTCAGGATTTCAAAGCAGTAATTGTAAAATAAGTCCATCTCCACTTTGGTGTCTTTGAGTGTTTTTTTTTTTGATCTCGTTATTTTCTGTTCTTGTCGTTAATTCTTTGCTCGCTTTCTCTCTGACTGAACTCTGCAGCGGCTCAGGAAATGAAAAGAGAAAAAGAGAGGAATGCAGAGGAGAGGGGAAAAAGCTTTGGGGCTCATTCTTCTCATGTAAAGTAAAGGGGGGGGGGTGGACACATTAATCTTCAGAGTGGAAAATCAGATAAGCAGAGTAATATTTTTGGAGGGTGAGCAAGATAAGAGTTTGTTTTTGACAGCGAGGTGTTGATAAGAGTGAGGAGAGGAAGAGCTCGAGTCCCTCTGCGAAAACGGGTCTGGGGAGAATATAGACGGTCTGTCCAACACAAAAAAATAAACCCTCTTTATTCAGATCTGCTCAGTGGTTTTATTCTGTCCCAAAACATGTATTTGTAGAACCGGAAATGGGCTGAAGTAGTGTTTATAAACGTCATTATATTTCCTAACCTGGACATAAAACATTTTAGTGAACCCAGACTGTATTTTACGCACAGCACCGTAACATGTCTGCGCGATAAACCTCAAAATAATCAGAAACTGTAAAAATCTTAATCGGCAGAATCTGTAGATATTTGTTAAAGAGTCAAATCTGTCAGAAAACAGAATCATGATGGAGTTATATTGTGCAGCAGAAATGATCAAATCCTTCAAACCTCCTTCTCCGGGAGAAATAAAACTTGTTTGTTTGGCACAGACCGTGAAAATATCACAATAATGTGGATTTAACTATTTTATTCAGTGAAAAAATAAACAAATGATTAAAAATCTGTTCAGTCATTCTGATATTCACTCACCATACCATATGTATAACCTGTACATACATGACTATAACCTGTACACACACTACTATAGTCTGTACACACATATATTTAGTGATATACTCATGTATGTATATCTCTCCTTCATACCGTGTAAATATATTTATACTTGTTAAGCACTTCTAGATGGATGCAAACTGTATTTCGTTGCTCTGTACTCGTGACATGAGCAATGATAATAAAGTTGAATTCTATTCTATATTACAGAATCTCAGAACCTGACATCCTTCACAGTAACTGTAATAGTAGATTTTCTGAGCCTGTTTTTCAGCCTTTTATTTGTTTGTTCATCTTTCATTCGTAACTTAAATTTAAAAATCTGTTTTTGGAGACATTAGTGTCTAAATTAGTCCTAAATCTAACTGTATATTTATAAATCAGTCCTAAACTCTCTCTCCTGTTGCTCGTAGTTAAACCCCCTCCTCCCTCCTGAAGGTCATCTGTAGTTTCAGCCTCAGATCTGAACCATGAAAACCTCTCAGAGGAAAATCCCTCATATGAACTACAAATGTTGGTCGGTGTGAACTAAATGTGTAGCCAAACACCTGCACCCCCCTGGACATCCACCCTCCATGTCACCGAATACCTTCCGCCTCCTCCTCCCCCTCCTCCTCCTCACCTCCCTCCCTCCCTCCCTTCCTCCATTTTTCCTGCCTTTCTTCTCCCTTCATCTCTCCCTGTGTGCGCCGCCGCGGCGGCAGGAGCAGCTTTGTCTCTGTTACCGGGGAAGGGAAGAGGAGGTCAGGCCTTCACCTCTCCTTTGCCTTCTGCTATCATTTCTCTCATCTGTGCCCCCCACTCCCTCACTCCCTCACCCTCCCTCCCTCTCTGCCTTTGACATACAGGGATTGGTCTGGAGCTGGAGGGGAGTGAGTGAGTGAAAAGGCGAGGGCGGAACTCACGCACGACGGTGAACTTTTGACCCTTCAACTCGGTGAACCTCGCGCTGTTCGCTGCTGTGAGCGTGGACATCCACCGACTCTGTCCTCGTGATTATAACCCGGAGAGTCTCTGCTCCTCAGTCTGAAGGAGGGTCCGGGTCCTGCTTTATCTCCCACACCTTCACACGTCCCCTCGCGTCCCCTCTCTCTCGCGCTCGTGATCTCGTCGTTAATCACGGGGAAACTCGGTGACAGTTCTGACAGTTGTGTATTTAGACAGTGAGGAGACAGAGGAGGGAGCTGGCTGCAGGTTATCGACGGTTAGGATTCAAACGCGCGCGGGGAGGGAGGCGCAGGAACTCCACAAGAGGGGCTCGCGGGGCTCCGGAGATGGTTCTTATTGGTCTGAAGCGGGCTCTGGTGGCGGCGCGAGAGAGCTGCATTCACAGGGAAATATCAACCAGGGGCGCACGGTTCGAGAGAGGAAATGGAGATTTAAGGCAAGAGTAAAAGAGGGAGAAGGTTTTTAAAGTAAGAGAAAATAAAGTTTAAAAAGAGAGGAGGAGAAGTTTCAGTAGGAAGGTGAATCAGAGTTTTATTTTAGTTTAGAGAGACATATAATCAACTATAACAAAGTTTTACAACGACCACCACTGCATGTCCACTCCTGACATGACAATAATTAATAAATACTTTTAGATAATTAAGATATTAAATGATCAGTATGGAGAGCAGTTATCTAATCAGTGAGACAGCGTGAGGCCTGGAGCTTAAAGAGGTCAGATTTCGTCTTCGTTCCGTTTTTTGACGAACAAACATGTTGAATTTCTTTGTGAGTTTTTAATCAGACTCGTGGATTTACAGATAAATTTATCAGCTTTAATTTTAGCTCTAAAGGAGTTTGAGAAAACGATAAAAACAAGAATAAACCCTGAAATACAGCTGAGTAAAAACGGTCTGAAGATAACCTGATAGTTAGTACTTTTGTTTTTGACGTGAATAGAAAACGGTTTAGTGAAATACAAACGTCTTTTCTTAGAAATAGGTCGGCCTCTTTTCTCTAATAGGAGCTTTGATTCAATATTTACTTATTTAGAAGTCCAAAGGTATTCCCAAAGAAATTATTTAAAAGAAATAACACAGAAAAATACATATACTCTCTTTGTATTTATATAAAATAGATCTCTCAAAATATTCATGTATCTCGATCAGTCTGAGGAGTTTAAGTTTTAGTCCAGAATGATCTCTGAACAAAAAGCTGAAAAACAAACCTATAAGATCCTCCACCTCTGACCTGAGCGCCTGTCAATATTTGCAGGTCATCAGCTTGTTATAACTCATCGACAGAACAAACAAAACCTGTTCTGGTCTGATCCAGGGTTTAGTCCCGGTCCTCCCAGCTCCACAAAGACGCTTTGTTGACTCCACGAGCTTTAATAAGCAGATAACGATAAGAGACTCTGTTATTATCGACTTTAAAACGATGATTTTAGGCTTTACTGCAGATTCGAACCTTTCACTTTCTACTGGAACATGTTCTCGACTTTATTTTATTATTTTAGGACATTTATAAACAGAACATTTGTGTTTTTTTCTGCTTCATTTTCGTCGTTTAAAACCGTCTTTGTGAGTCTGCGTGTTTTCTCATCAGTCTGGTGTAAATCGTGGAAGTTTTCTCGTCACTCGTGGGTAAACTTCCCTCTCTGTTGACCCGGAAGTGTGAATCACAGTCTGACAAATAAAACCCCCTCATGTTGTTGGATCCTTTCCCCTCCAAACACAAACAAACGCGCAGGTTTGGGGGGGGGGGGGGGGGGGTTGTGTTTTGTTGCATTGAGGCTGTAACCTGTCTGTCCTTTGCTGCGCATGCGCCTTAGCAGTCTCCCCTTTGCAGTGTTTGGCTCGAGCCTGTCTGCTGACCTCGCGGTGACTCCTGCTCGTGCATTATTCATGAGGCATGGCCGCGCGGTTCACCCCGATCAGTATGCACGAGGCATTAAAGCTCCGCAAATGTCGATTTAAACGTAAAGAGGAGGAGAGAGGAGAGGAGAGGAGGAGAGGGATGGAGGAGGTCATTTACTCTCCTCTATAGACTATCTTTACTTTTATAGCTTCACTTCCCTTAAACGAGCTTCTGTGAGGATTAAAATCTGCAGTAAAGTGTCCGGATTGAACGGAATCACCTCCGATGATCAGAGAGAAGCAGCTTCAGGTTCAGCTCCGCCGCTTTCTGCACAAACACACTCAGGATCTTCCCATGCCCGGGTCACTCACCTCTCTCTCTCTCCCTCAGCTCTCTCATGCCCTTCCAATAAACCCACCAAACACAACAAAACACACCCCACTCACTCCCACACAAAGCGCGCGGCTCTCACACACACACACACGCGGACAAACACACACCTTAGCAGCAGAAAGAAAAGGGCCCGTCGACTTATTTACTCACCCCACTCATCATCATCATCATCACCAGCAGCAGCACTTTAGACACTGTAAAGCCCGAATCAGCCCTCCTGACAGCCCGGACAGGTTCAAAGGCGCAGCAAGCCCGTGCACACACAACACACACAACACAACACACAAAGCTCATAACACACACAACACACACAGAGCTCATAGAGTGCGCGTAAAGCTGCGGCTCTGCTGCATGTTGGAGCTGCCCTATGTACATACACGGGAAACAGGACACACACACACACACACACACACACACACACACACACACACACACACACACACACACACACACAGCAGAAACAAAAGAGAGCATACAGAGCTGCTGCTGCTGCTGCTGCGCCTCTTTACTTATCCCACAAGAAAGGGAACTATGTTTGTGTCACGCGTGTCATGCCCCGTCCATGTGTGTGTAACCATATGTGATATGTGTAAGTGTGTGTGTGTGTGTGTGTGTCTGGGGTGGTCTTGGGGGTAGGTTTGGGTGTTCCTGTATCATCATTAACAGGAGGAAGTTGATGAAAAATGAAATGGGGAGTTTTCTCGCCTTCCTGTTTACTGAAATGAAACTTCCTCAAGGACTTAAGGCCTCACACACACACACACACACACACACACACACACACACACACACACACACACACACACACACACACACACACACACACACACACCGACAGACAGACAGACATATATCGTTGTGCTATCTTGTACCAATAAACAATATTCAAAACGGAAAAAACGTCTGCGTAATTACGCACGCGCCAAAACGCACTTTAGATGTAAAAACAGACAAAGTTCATGTCTCTGAGAGTCAAAACTATCATCCGTGGATTTCAAGTTTTCTTTTCGAGAAGCAAATGTGAAAATTAAATGTGTTTTTTTAAATATATTTGTTAAAAATTAATATGATCCAAAAGTCTCTGAAAGTCAGGAGGTGAATTTTAAACGTTTGGTCCCATATTTAGTAAATTATTTTGCACGTTTTAAAATCTCCATAAAAGTCGAAAATGTCTAAATCCTCTGAAATATGATTTTAAAGTTTGTTTTATTTTAGAGGCACAGATTTTAAATTTAGAGTCTTGTTGAGATTAAAATCAAACATCTTTATATTTCAGAGACTTTCTCAGAGAGAAGAGACTCTCTTCTTCTTCCTGTTCTTCTTTAAGCCCTCCGCCGGTGTCTGAATAATTTATGGTGTCCCACACATGAGTCTAAATAACATTCTTGTGAAGCTGGTGAAAAATCTTTGTGATGGCGGAGGGCAGCGGCAGGAATCCGCAGACTGAAAACGCATCGAGGCAGGCGGACTGCTTCATGTGTAAAGTGAACATAATAAATGAGAGTTTGAGAGCAGAGAGGGACTTCCGAAAAGCACAATCCTCCTCTCTTATTAACGCTGAGCAGAGGACGGAGGATTAACTGTGCGGTCGTGGTTAGGAAAAATGCACTTCAACCTTGAGTACCGGCTGTAAATAAGAGCAGGTTGAGTTTAAAGTTTGGTTTCAACACCAAAATAATTTGTTAAAGAGGAAGAAATCGATCCGGCTCATTAGAGAAAATATATTTACTCATAAAAAAGGAGCTAATTTATGTTTGAGGAAAGGTTCAAACATTAAAACAGAATAAAGGACAGTTATTTTACACGTTTTAAAATCTTAGTGACTCTATTCTTCAAGGTTCAGGTCCTTCTCTTTAAAACCTCTCAGAGTTTTTCTTCTTCTTCTGCAGTGAAATGAGTCCGGACTGAAGTTGATTATCTTTGATCATATTTCATTTATTATCCTGGATGTCAGAACTGGACAGGAGCCAGCTCTCCATTAACTTCCTATTAGTCTGCCTCTTCTGGGCGCCATGTTTCGGTTGGTTTTTACACAAAAGGAGATCTATTAATTTCACTCTGACCTCCTTTATTGGACGGAAACATCGAACCGGTGACTCTGGAGCGGCTCCGCGACCATTTCATGTTTTTTCAGAAAGTTTGAATGTAAACACAGAAATGTGATCGTCCGCCGTGACACGAGACATTAAAACGATTTTACATGATAAATCTGAGCGTGCGCGAGGAGGAGGACAGGACGGTGCCTCGTGACTGGTAGCCGGTCTGTTTGACAGCTGGAGTCCCGCGTTTGACATCAGAGAGAACCAGAGTGAGGACAGATCCAGATTTACGCACAGGTCCTGGACTCTGAGATCCTCCTCTGACTGCAGGTTTTATTCAATATTTCATAAAGTCACAAAAAGTCTAATTCTATTTTATTTGAGTGAGTTTTAAAAATACACAAACTGCTGATTACAAAGTAAAACATTATATTCCTTTGGTATATAATTCCCTTTTGCTTAATTCCGAATATAAAGGGCTGCACAATTAATCAAAGTAGGAACATGACTAAAGGTGATATTTCCTAATATATCTGCAGTCATTTAAAAAAAGGTGAAATGTTCCTTTAAACGTCTCTAAGGTGAAGTGCTGCAGAAATGTTCCGGTCTCCTAAATTTACATAAACTCTCCTGCTCAGTTCAGACTCCAATAATCTAGATTTTACTTTTTTTTAATCATCCAAACTTGTTGTGAAACATATGGAATAAAAAACAATCTCTGCCAAAATAATCCAAAGTGACTCCCACCGGGATGATTTGACCATATGGTGCAGACTCATCATTCCTGATTATTCCTGTTTTACAATTAAAAAGTCTGAATGTAAATCTTCTCTGCAGTCAGTCTGGATTTAAACGGAGATGTTCACTCACAGTCAGAATCACAGTTCATGAATGTTCAGTCGAGATGTTGTTTTTCACAGATATCTGTCTTATTCGCACTGATTCTTATTTTAATGTTTCACTCTGTTCAGTCATGTCTCTGGTTTTAAAAATCTGTCTGATTGTTGAATCTCTCTGGAAGGATCTTTGGTTGTTTGTGTCACGTGTTTTGGTCCCTCAGTTTCAGATCGTGATATTATGGTTTTGACGGATTAGGCCTGAGTGATATTTTAGTGACTGATGTCAGAGCAGGATTTGATTCTCGTCATCTGATTTTTCCAAATGTTGTGCGCGTAACATGACAGTGAACTCAAACACCAAACTTTAAATTTTGGGCAGAGAGTGTCATGAAGACTTCTAACGGTGTTATTTTAGGATCAGAAAAGCTGGACTTTGTTTCTCAGGCTGCTAGATGAGAGCTGTGTTTTTATCCGTTCAAGTTATTTGATGTTGAAGTTTTTAATTCCTTATAAAATCCTTTTTTGGGTTGAGCAGCTTTTGCGCGTAAAAGTGTGTGTCTGTCTCGGTGTGTGTGTGTTTTCTTAGTGTCAGGAGAAGAGGCCGAAGCGGTGGTGTAAAATCACCAACAAGGACTCTGATAATAAACCTTGGGAATGTTTGTATCCACGTTTACACTCACACCCATCCTGCCTGGAAAAATGCAGGGTGGGGGACGACAAAGATTTTCTTGTGCCCAAGGACGCACATTTCTACATGCCGTGTGTGTGTGTGTGTTATTGTTTGAGTGTGTGTGTGTGTTCACTGCTCGGTTAATGTTAGCACACACGGGCCTTTTTCCAGCTCTAAATCCCACACTGAAGCTATTTTACGCACACGATGTGCGTGCGTAAAAGTGTCAAAACAAACGCACAGCCGTATGAAATGTTTCCTCTCCGACAAAAAGCTGCAATAAAAGCTTTCTAGGATGAAATGTGAAATCCCCCCTCAACTTGATGGTTATATATTTTCTCTGTGATCCGGGGGGACACAGAACATTTGAGTCAGATCAGTTCCACACCTTCAGAAAACCACGTAAACAGCCAACAACATCTGCTGCCCTGCGCCTCTTCATCAGCCTTTCATTGAACACATCAGTCAAACACCCAAACAAGAGCGGATTGAACTTTAAGAAACAAGAACCGCACATACACACACATGTACACAAATACACACACACTGATACACACACTCCCACTGTAGAGAAGTTTGTCACTCTGAGTTTGTTTCCAGTTATCTGTGCCACATCGGTGTGCCAGTGCGCTATCATTACGCACGCATCACAGCCAAGCACGCATACCTCGGGGACTACACAAACAGTCCACACGACTTCGCTCGTGCACACATGTTACAACTCACTCAGTCGGTGACGCCACCGACGTCGCGAGGTCTTGGCCGTGTAGCCACAACATCAGATATCTCAGATATCTCATACACCGGGGCTCGAGCGCGCGCGTTAATACAGCAGCAGAGAGAGAGTGAGTGACACGGTAATTACACAGCTCTCTCTCTCTCTCTCTCTCTCCCTTTACCACCCTCACCCCCTCCCTCCCCTCTCTACTTAGCCCCCACTTATAGGCAACCTTCAAACACTACTTACTGTGCGTCCCGGCTCAGTCTTATCCACCGGGTTTTCCCAGCGTCCACAGCGGCACAGACTGGAGCTCCTGGGCTCCGCGTGTGAACCGGAGCAGGAACAGCGGCCGGTAGTAGTGGCCTGCTCTCTCTCTCACCCACACACTCCCTCCCTCTCCCGCTCTGTCTCTACTTTACTGACCCCTTTAGGATCCCCGCGAAGCCGTTAAACCGTCACTTGCTTTCTAGAATGTGAAATATATAGTACATTGTCAACTCCCCAAAACCATAAAACTAACTTTATGGACCCCACGTGACCAGAGCAGAGCCAGTGAGAGGTATCAGTCTGAGGCAGGCCTGATCTTTACGATCCAACTTGGAGATAAAAACCCTCATCCGTTTGACATGTAAATGTCAAAGCTGCCTGTTTTTTTATAGTTTGGCCCAAAGCAGAAGGGGGTTAGCTTAAAAAAATGTTTCAACACACACACACTTATACACACACACACACTTTGAGGAGACAGGAGATAGCGGCTGTGTCCAGATGAGGCTCGGAGCAGGACCTGGTTTCTCAGCTATCAGCTCAGAAAAAGAGCCGTGTGTGTGAGGAGAGAGTCTGCAGCAGCATCAGCCGGTGAGTTTAAAAGTTCAGCTGCTTGTTTACAGTTGGAAACTGGGCGAAGGTAACTTAATTTGGCCGGGAGCGGCCTCCGTTAGGACGGAAAGGGAGGTCGTTTAGAGAAAAGTGACCAATTTGTCTTTTCAGGCTCGGTCAGCAGAGATGGAAATTGGCCTGTGTGCATCTGTTCAGTGTGAGTTTAATGCAGCTTGTTTGGTGATTGGTGAGCTCTCTGCTGCTGCTGCTGAGCTCCAGGAGGTTGTAGTCTTGGACATGTGGCAAAGTGAGGCCCAGAAAAACCCAAGACAGGGCCTGGGGTTATGCGTCTTTACGCACGGAGCTGTTGGTTTACACCAGACTGAGCCGTTTGGTAGAGCTGATTCTCCCTGATGTGGCTCAAAAATAAACTCAAGGAGATTTTGTCAAAGAGCTGCAGATGTTTGTAAGAGAGTTAATTTTCAGCGGGAGTCAGATTTGGGTTAAAACAGGACTGTGATCAACTATAATGAATTCTATTTTCTCACTTTTCTGATCCAGACTTTTGAAAAATTCTCTGACCAGCTGAAGTTTGGTAAACTTTTGGCACGTGTGTCTGTTGCGTCATTTGTGCGTCAGTTTGCTCTGTTTTTGGATGAGTATTGGAAACTTTATTGTTTTCTTTTTTTTTACTCCAAGTTACAAACAAATACAAAAAGCTCATTGGCAGAAAGCTTACAGGCCTCACAGGACGGTAGCCATTTCCATTACATGCGCGCACACACACTCTCTCACAACCACACACACACACTTTCTCTCTCTAACACACACACACACACATACTGCAACTACAGGTAGCCAACTGGTCACATTTAAAAATGTCCATATAGTATATCTATATACATCCTTTCTGAAGCATGGAGTCAATAATTACAATAACAATAATCATCATAATAATATACAGTTACACTTTCTGAATAATAGAGCTATACACAACATTATGGATGGATACGAGGGTTTGTTTTAGACGTACACACACTCACCTACACACACACACACACTCACACACTCACACACTCACACACAGATTTGGTGGAAGGTAAATAGCAGGTTAAGGGGGACTCGGACTAATACGCTATACTCGCGTTATTGGCTGTAAATAACTTACAATAAGAGCACACATGCTAACTTTAAAATACAAAACATCGCACGTGACATATAAAACGATATTTAGACACCAAACAACAGGTAGTAGGTAGGTAGGTAGGAAGGTAGGTAGGATGTAGGTAGTTAGGTAGCATTATTCATCCTCTCCTCCTCCGGGCACTTCTTTTGAAAAAACGACGACAACAAACAGGAACACCAAGTTTTTGTTTTGAACAGGAGAAAGTACCACAGTCATTATTTTTTCAAACACCAAAGACCAACAACATGCCGACAAAGAAAAAGTGCTGCGCTGCTGTACAGTACTCGGGAAATGTTTCTGAAATCTACATTTTGGAATCTGCTTGTTTTTCATGTTTTTCTTCATCTCGTCTCCTTGAGCTCCACTCTGCTGGCTTCTTCTTCTCCTTCTTCTCGTATTTTCTTCAAGTTTCTGTAGTTTTTGTCTCTCTACCTCTCCTGGGAAGCTTGCACGTGGTTTCCAAAGAGATGGACGGAGGATTTTTAGATTTCTGTGTATTTAATATTTTAGGGTTGGAAGGCGCTGCCCGCCGTAGCGAGGCTCATGCTTTTCAGTTTGTTGTCCTTCTTCCACTTCATCCTCCGGTTCTGGAACCAGATCTTGATCTGCCGCTCCGTGAGGCAGAGCGCGTGCGCAATCTCGATCCTCCGCCGTCTCGTGAGGTACCGGTTGAAGTGGAACTCCTTCTCCAGCTCGAGGGTCTGATAGCGAGTGTACGCCGTCCGCGCCCGTTTTCCGTCCGGGCCCGTCATATCTGAGGGTTTGGAGCGAACAAAAGGCCGTTAGGAGGGGGGGTCTGAGTGGGCACAGACACGCGGATTAATTTGGGATTAATTTAGAGAAACAACAACACACACTTCACATCTGAGTCAAATATCACCAGAACCAGAATCCTACTGGATGGACACCTTTACGCGTGTCCGTGTTTTCTCTGTATTTTAAAAGAGTGACTCTACAGGTGTTGATATTCTCGTGTCCACCCCCTCTCTAGCAGCACACACAAACACAACTCTGTTTTCACCCATATTGTCATCAGAATCAACGTGCGTAAAGGCGCAGCCATATTTCAGCCCCTCATCCTGACAGCTCTCTCTCTTTCTCGTCACGTTTTTATTTCCACTCCACAGCCCTCGCTAAGAGATTTGCTTTTATTTGTCACATTAATGTTTTCTTTTTTAACCTCCCCTCTTCACCGTCACCCTCTCAATCCCCCCCTTTTCATTCCCTCCAGCTCCCTTCAGGGTTTTATTGCCCCGTCCTCTGCCTCACCTCTCTAATAAAGTTCCCACACGTAATAAAGCTTCACTTTTCAAAGGGGCTACAGCCTCCAAAGCCTTCCTGGCCTCCTCTTTCTTTTCTCTTTTCCCACCCGGCTCTGTCTGCGCTCCTCAGCCTGTTGGGCTCTGCTGCCCGGCTCTCCTCTCTCCTGACAGATTTATGACGCTTTTGTGGAATTTGCTAAAATAAAAACGGGGGAGAGGAACAGAGGGGGTAAACTATCCGGCGTCCTCTGCTACAGGAGGGAAATGTAAAACGAACTGCAGCCTGATGCAGAGACACAACACGCTCACCTCAGCAGGGCAGCTGTCTTTGTTATTAGTAAAATAAAAAAATTACACGTTGAATTATCTGCGCAATCCTCTCTCTAGGAAAGCTGCACACAAATTAGAGCAGATAGTTTGAGCTTTACTGGGAGGACAGAGACACACGGCTGACTGATTTCTGGCAGTCAGATGAAAATATTAAACTGACGCAGTGGAAAATGCTCTGTGGGGTGCGGACAACACCGCCAAACACGGCTGCATGTTTGTCAGCAGTTTAACTCAACTTAAATCAAGGCAGCAGCCATTTTTGAAGAGTGTGTACAAAAGTATCCTAAAGAGGCACAGAGCACTAAACTGTCACCCTCCCCATGTGTCCAAACAGACAGGACTCAGCACTCTGAATATTATCTACAGAGAATTATCACACTAATAATAATAAGAAGCAGGAAACACTGGAGCAGCGTGTACCATGGCTAATGTGCAGCTTTCTCATCCAGGGGAATATCTGAGGTGTAGCCTCGTTGCCCGTCGTGCCGCCCGCAGCTGCTCCCGCCGGGCCGCCCTCCTGTTTCTGCCCGGGCTGCGAGTGCCCACCCCTGGTCGACAGGTTGCCGCCGTGCCCGGTGTCCCGGTTGTGCTGCAGCTCCTCTGCCTCTGGAGACGCGTCCTCCAGCTCCGTGAAGCGCCGCGCCGAGCCGCCACCGCCACCTCCACCACCGCCGGAGGAAGAGGCGGAGGACAGGTTTGGAGAGCTGAGATTCGCGCTTCCTGGTTGCTCGGAGCGCGGAGAAGAGCTCTGTCCGCCCAGCTTGGTGTCTCCTCCGCCGGGTGACAGGAGGGAGTCTGCCGCAGAAGCGAGGGAGCAGCTGGACGGTTGTCTGAAGCTCCTCTCCGAGGCTGTGGAGCCGAAGCCCAGGGAGTCCCCAACGACCGAGCCGCCCCCGAAGTGTCCTCCGGTGTTGGCGCCGCTGCCCCCTCCCCGGTTGGTGACGGTCAGGTCCATGCCATTGTAGCTGTAGCCGTAAGAACCCGTCGCATGGTGCATGGTGGCGGAGGAAGAGTCCCTGTACGTCCCGCCGTTCATTGCGCCGCTGCTGGCTCCATAATTTAGCAGTTGATAGTCGGGGCCATTTGGGTAGCGCCCCGAGAACGAGTTTACAAAGTAAGAGCTCATTTAGGTTGTTTTAGAGAGTTGCAGCTCACAGCTGAGTACTAAGGGGCGCTTGATTTGTTAGATTTCTCTTGGTCGTTATAACGCGGGTACTTTCAACGATTTATGATGTATTAGTGAATTATGGCGTTGCACTGTACTTCGTTTTTAGCTATGTATGCGCCGTCCAAATATGGGGGTGGGGTGGTGTGTGTGTTGGATTGAGGGGTGTGTAAGTGTGTGTGTGATGGGGGAGGTGAGGGGTGAGGTGAGGGAGGAGAGAGAGAGAGACAGAGAGAAGGAGGGGGGGCGGTCACGTGCTTTTGTTGACCAGTCGTAAATTCTCGCCGATGACTTTGGAGAGGTAATTCATGCTCTGAGGTTTCTAATGATGAAGGGGTGGGCGGGGGAAGCTCTCTCTCTCTCTCTCATTCTCCTCCCCCTCTCCCCCTTCTCTCTCTCTCTCTCTCTCGCTCTCTCACCCGTTTGTTCTGCTGCTGGAGGTGCCGGGGGTGAGCTCAGAGCGCCACCTACTGCAGACATAATTTATTGCACTGATTAAAAAGACAGAAAGAGAAGTAGACAGAGAAAGTAGACACTGAGAAAAGTCTGAAGGAACACATCAAATACTCTGTCTCTCTGTCTCTCTCTCTCTCTCTCTCTCTCTCTCTCTCTCTCTCTCTCTCTCTCTCTTTGTGGTTATGTCTGTCATCACTCAGGCCTGTTCATTGACCTTTGCTAAGACTGGAATTAGAAACCACTGACCATAAACAAAAACAAACAACACAAACACCCCCGTAAATAAACGAATATTCAGACACAACAGAGAGAGAGAGAGAGAGAGAGAGAGAGAGAGAGAGAGAGAGAGAGAGATGGAAAAAACAAAAACAAGAAGAAAAGGTTAAAGTGCTCTACACCTGCAGCTGAGAGTTCAGGTGTGTTTCAACCATCCAGACAAAAATGAAAGAGTTTATCAACTTTAATATTAATAAAAATAACAATGATAATAGTAACTATGAAAATGATGATAATACTAATAAAAGTAAAAAGTAATAATAATAAAGAAAATGTTAATAATAATGAAAATGTTAATAATAATAATAATAATAATAATGATAATAATAATAATAAAATAAATCAATAAATATAAAAATAATGAATCAATAAATAGAAATAATGAAATAAAATAAAACAAAATAATAAAATAAAGCATAATAAAGATAATAATAATAATAATATAACAACAACAAAACAACAATAACACTAATAATAATAATAATAATAATAATAATAATAATAATAATAATAATAATAGTTTCTAATATAAACCAACAGTCATTGCGCCATCATTGGCACATCACTGCGTCATTACACACGCTTGTAGCACAGCTGACCACTGACCAGATGCAATTCTGCATTAATGATAAAGATGAAACTGTTACTTCTCCGCAGCTTTACAAATATTTCTAAGAAAATCTTCCACAGTAGTCTCTATCATCAGACCCAAATACTGACACCTGTACCAGAACTGAACCATACATGAGTCCCCCTCCCAGTATGAGAACAGCCTCTCCAGTATGAAGACTAAGCAGAAATATTCAGTCTAACTGAATATTATTAAACCATGAGGTCCAGTGAGAATACACTGATCTGAGGGCCAAATGCTAACTATAACTTTGACCACACAGACACACACAAACACACAAATGAATGTACACAAAAATCCCACTAACACACAAACACAGACACACACAAATGAATACACACAAACACAGGCCACCAGAGAAATCAGACTTGACCCACTACTGTTCTTCCTCTCTCTCTCTCTCTCTCTTTCTCTCTCTCTCTCTTTCTCTCTCTCTCCCCCTCACACACACACACACACATACACCCCCCCCCGCCACCCCCTCCAGCTGCAGAGCAGGAATGTTAAACCTGATCTGTGACGTCCACACTGGATGGAAATCTGCTGATTTATGATTTGTTGATTCCCGAGTCGGGATGCATTTCAGCCGGGGTGCCTCTGAGTGTGGGTGTGTGTGTGTGTGTGTGAGTGTGAGTGTGTGTGTTGTAGTAGGCCTCATCGTGCATGTTTCATTCTCACTCTGACACACACACTTACACACAGGCTCAAACATGGGACAGATGAAGAGTTCCAGATTTGTGTGTGTGAAATGATACAAATGAATGCACTCTGTGGGGAATGTGTCTGTATGTAAGTGTGTGTATGGTACATGTGTGTGTGTACGTGTGTGTGTGTTTGAGTGTCAGGCCACATTTCAGACACTCAGCTGCTCTCATACTGAGTCGACAACACAAACCAGCAGTTGGAATGGAAACAGTCCTGAATAAGATGAGTTTCATGCAGGCGGGTTAAAACAACTGAAACACACAGATATCAGGTTTATTATCTTACAGCACACAGTTTGGACACCAGCACTAAATCAGGCTGAATGTTGGAGGAGGCCAAAGTGTGCCAGGAATGGTCTGCAGAGGAGGAGGAGGAGGCAGCGACCCAGTTGGCACAGAGCTCTGAATACACTCCCTCGTTATATTTAGATTTTCACCATCAGACTGAAAATTCGTACCATGTCAAACAGGCTGTAGTCCGAGCTCAAACCACGGTTCTACATGAGTGGAAACAAAGGCCATGCATTAAATTTGACTTCCTGCACCATAAATATATGAAAAACTGAAAAGACTGAAAGAACTAAATCCTGTTTCTGCTTAACTCTCCATCATGATAAGCTTTAGTTTGCACAAGAATCCCAGTTGGTGCTTCAGTTAGAGTCATAAGATCTGGATCTAAATCATCCCAACAATCTGCAGATATATTCTTACATGTAGAGAAACACGACTGTTAACACTCTCCGCAGTGATCTGCAGGGTGCCTCAGTTTGGAGCAGATGTTAACTCGCTGTTTCAAAGCCTGACGGTTTGGAGAGTTTGATATTTAACTCAATGCCACGTTTCTGAATCATCTCAGAGAGAAGCAGCAGTTTGCATAAACTCGAGGAAACTTCAGAGCTACAGGAAGAAAAGTTTCAGTGACGTAATCCAGCTTTGACTAAATTCACAACACAATAGAACCAAAATCTGCCAGCGTGTGAGCAGGATATGTGGGAATGAGCCCTTTGGGTCAGAGTGAAAACTCCTCTCTGTGTGTTAAACATAAAACAGCTGCTACCGTGTAGTTCAACACACTGTTCGACTGCTGGTCAGAGAGCAAAATATGTAAATACACAAAAATGACAGAACAAGCGAGAGTCCAATTCAGCCGAGAGAATCTGGCCTTCAGTCAGAGTGTGTGAGGAGATCTCTCTGCAAACTCCAGTTACAATCATCTCAAATGAAAGTATCCCACTAACTTTAATTATTTACTGAGGAGCCAAGACGCTCAGAGAGACGTCCAGCTGATTACAAACTTAATACTCTCACTATGACACACACTCCGGGCTGCAGGAAAACCAGTACGCAGAGGTACCAGGAGTGTTTCCAGTGAGCACACACTTTGGCATTAATACCTTCAACAGCTGGGACTGATTGTATGTTATTAATACTCTGAATAGTATTACTGTACTGCAATGATATTATAGAGATATAGAGAGTAGATCTGATCAACATCAGGCTTTAATTTCAGACATGATGTTTGAGTTTAGTGTCTTATCAAACTGAAATACTTTCCCGCTGATGTTGACATTTATGAATGAGTCTGCATATTTACTAACTCTTCTCTGAGATTATGAGCTTTGCAGACGCAGTCATGTGACCACACTGGTATCTATCTACTCAAGTGAAAATGCCTTGAAAAGCAGTTATCTAATAATTTTAATAGTAGACTTTAGATCCGTGATGATGGCTGATGTTTTACAGTTTTAGAGCAGCTACAGAAATAGGAGTAAAAGTTCATGTTTATGAGGATAATGAGGATTATTTATGAGATTAAAACATAAATGTAATTTTGGTGTAAATGTCCACGAGCTTGAGGTTTGAGGTTAATTGGTTATTATTATTATTGAGGTGAATTTAAGATCAGTCTGACTGAGTTAATCGTCAGTTTTCCACGTGGCCAGATTTTTTTTAAATTATTCTTGAATTTTTTGATTATTGATTTCAGTTTAATTTGTATTGATTGGTGCATTGATAAAAATATTTGTTTGATTTTGGAAAAAAAAATTCTTTATTGTGAGATTCTAAAGATAATTACGTCATGTGTTCACGCGGACACATGACGTAGTATTCTCTTTAGAATCTGACGATAGAGGAGAAAAGTTTTTTTTTCCTTTTATCTTGAGATTCTAAAGATTATACTGCGTCATGAGTTCACGCGGACACATCAATGAGATCGCGTCAGAGCTTATGGAACCCGCGCGCCGGTCACTCAGAGGACACGCAGAGTTCAAAGGGTCACGAGGACATTGTCCACTTTGTCTGGGTGAAGTGTGTGTGTATATGTGTGTGTGTGTGTGTGACGTGTTTGGCTGGCCAGCTCGAGGACAGGTCAACTTTCTCTACCCCCCCCATCAATTAGTTCAGCCCGCCATCAGCAGCAGCTCGCGCCCCTTGTCACTTCCCCTCACCTCGTGCGCTTTGACTTTACGCAGGAGACGTTTTAACCGGTTAAAAAAAAACAACTAAAAACCTGATGAATAATAAATCCAGGACCAGCCTCTCTGCGTTCACGTTTTTACATTTTATTGAACGTTTTTTTTCAGGTAGTTTACGTAATTACGTGACAAAACACGAACATAAACAAACAATGTAAAAATCCATAAAATAGACACTTTCCTGAACATGTTTAGGTAGTTTGAAGAATAACATCAGTAGGTTAACACCCCATCTACACCCTCTATCCCTATACTGGAAAAGGAAAACAGCTGGACAGCTTAAATTACCCCCAAACACCCACCCAAACCCACCCACTCCACCCACCCAAATGTACATTATTATCCACCATACAAGGTGTTTTTTTTCCTATACAGTTTAAATATGAACAACATATGACACAGGCCTACATACACTTCTCAGAGAGAGTTTGTGTGTGTGAGAGTGTGTGTGTGTTTCCACGTTTAGGCTATTCAAAGGTATAATACACACACGCACACGCACACACACAACAGGTTCAGAAAATAAGAAAATAAAAATATTTCAGAAGAAGAAGAAGAAGAAGAGTCCAACAGCGTCAAAAGAAAACAAGTGCCTGCAGACTGAAAGTCCTTTAACAAAAATGAAGTTAGGTAGTTTTTTCTTTCGGAATGCAACAAGAAAATATTTCAAATAAGTTTTTATTTATTTATTTAAAGGCATTTTTGGACGCCTCAAAGTTTTCCTCTCTTTGTTTTTGCTTTTGTAAATTTCGAGAACTTTAAAACTTTAATTTTAAGACAAGTGGAGAGAGGAAACTTCAGCCTTTAGATAAACACACCTAGGTAGTTTTCGATATGAGGAGGATAAAAATGAGAGTTTTCTTCCTGTTCTTCCTCAGGTCTCAGCCCCGGGATACAAAAATTTAAATAAAACAAAAAACGTAGGACACTTCCGTTTTTCTTTCTTTCTTTCCCAGAGTTTTTTACACCAGACTTCCGTCTTGAAGAAGAGAGAGATAAGTCTTTTTTCTTTTCCATCCTCCTCTTCCTCCTCCATCAGTTTATTTCCCTTCTTTTACTCCGTCCGTTTCTCCTCCTCCTCCGCTCCGTTCACCGTGGAGGATGAGGAGGAGGAGGAAGAGGAGTTGATCAGCTTGTTCTCCTTCTTCCACTTCATCCTCCGGTTCTGAAACCAGATTTTAATCTGACGCTCCGTGAGGCAGAGCGCGTGCGCGATCTCGATCCTCCGCCGTCTCGTGAGGTACCGGTTGAAGTGGAACTCCTTCTCCAGCTCGAGGGTCTGATAGCGCGTGTACGTCTGCCGTCCGCGCCTCCCGGGACTACCGAAGGTCCCTGAGAGAGAAAGAGAGAGAAGGAGGACATGAGGAGACACCTGGAGCAGGAGAGTCAGGCTTTACTTTTACTTTAACTTTTTCATTTCTTTTCTTTTTTCTTTTTTCTTTTACTTCTTATTTATTTTTTCTCCTCAGTTTAAATCCACATTTATTTTTCCCTCCATGCACCGAGCCTCCCAAAAACTTCAAATCTAACTTGTAGACAGTCTTCCCAAAATGTACATTCTTATTAAATATTTGCATATTTACTTTAAAGTTAAATCCAGTTCAGTGTTTGTCTTAGAGCTAAACTGAAACTTTATTTTTACCTGGAATGAAAACTGGAATTATAATCCTGATCTAACGTCAAACTAATCTGTTATTTATTTCAGGGAATTTAAACTTTATGTTTTTGCGAATGGCAACTTTCGTCCTCCTCCAACAACAACAACAACAAATATAATAATAATAATAATAATAATAATAATAATAATAATAGTAATAGTAATAGTAATAATAATATTTAGGCAGGTTTCTCTCCTCTGTAAATCTCTCTGCTCTGTTTTTATGGGCCCCTTGAACAGTTTTTGGCCCCCGGTGGTAAACAAATCGCCCTGTTGTCAGTTTAGCAGCTTCAGTTTCTGTATCGATCCATGAGAGTCACACACAGAGAGAGGGAGAGAGAGAGAGAGCAAACGGGCTCCTATCGAAAGCCCACATATCCATAAATAAGGAGTCAGATAAACCGGATTATGGAGGAGCTCTCGGGGGTTTTCAGTGCCACTCTGCTCTCTCTCCAGCTGCCACTTAGATCCTCAGCCTGTCATTTCAGGGTTTGATTCTTTCTTTTCTGCGGCTCAGCCTGTTTCCACCTCATCTGTCAGAGTGTCCTGCAGCAGCAGCAGCAGCAGCAGATCTGCATCCTCCAACATCAGTCAGTCAGTGCACAAAGACACCCGGGTTCAAACTGTCCCTCAACACTGTGGTTTCATTAAAACACACAGAGAGAAATTCAGATTATTCTGGAGTATAAATCAACCTGCTGACCCCGCGTGTCTCTCCTTCAGCACGAGCTGCACAGGCCTGCTTATGAGTGTAATATCTAATCTGCTGGGTTATGAATAAACAGGCTAACAGTGTCTGCGGTTAGAAGGTTAACAGTGCAGAGGAGATAACAGAGCTGGAGCTGTTATTGCACTCTTCCTTTATCAGCTGAGCGGGGTTAGGAAAGGAGACAAGGACGAAATTGGAGGAGAAAAGTTTAAGTTTCAATAATAAGGAACCCAAAAGTGAAGCTGATGAAGTGTTTGTGGAGGAGCATGCTTTAAGTTTCCTCTCTGTCTCTGTCTGTCTGTCTGCTCCCTGTTTTCACCCACAACACTCCCTGACAGCCTCTTCCTCTCAGCTTTCTCCCCCCGCTCGGTAGCAGCTCCGGTCAGCAGGTCACTACAGTAACAGGAGCTACAACCCAAACAAACCCGGTTTATGACGGACAATAAAGAAGCGAGCACATGACTGAGTGACAGGCCAACAAACGGGATCATAAAGCAGCAGCAGCTCGTGGGAGAGAGGAGGAGCAGGAAGAGGAGAGAGGAGAGAGGGAAGACAGCAGAGGAAACAAACGTCAGTTTTATGACGGGATCATAAAATATGCAGAGAGGCAGACACACACACACACACACTCACACACACTCACCGTTACACGCGTTCATCCGCTGCATCCACGGGTAGATGGGCGCAGACGCCGCCTGTTTGTCGTCCATGGTTTCACCGAACAGCCCCTTGCCGCTCAGACCCGCGCACTCCGCTTTCCGGTGCATGCCGTCCTGCGTCAGCGCGAGCTGGTGCTCCTCCAGGCTGCACGGGTGCTCCTTGTCCCGGTAGAAACTCGTGGCCGCAGCTGCCGCTGCCGCCGCCGCCGCTGCCGTGGCATAGTCGCAGGTGCCTGCCCCTCCTGCGCCCCCGACACCGACCCCCGCCGCCGCCCGGTGCCCTCCGTACGCTCCGTTCGCAGCCTGCTGGTAGTAGGAGGACGCAGAGTACGCTTTCTCCTGGTGCACGCCGCCGCTCGCGCCGTACGCAACAGCAGCGGCGGCGGTCACGGCAGCCGCCGGGTAGTGCCTGAGCGGGTGGTCGGCTGCGTATCCCGAGGAGTAAAGCGGGATCTGACCCAGGAACGACTCCGCCGCCGCCTGCCCACCGCCTCCCGTTCCCGGTAAAGTGACCGGGAAAGAGGAGTTGACAAAATAGGAACTCATCGGAAGAAAGTGAAGAGGAGGATGAGAAGAAGAAGAAGAAGAAGAAAAGAGAGGAGAGGGGAGGACAGGAGGGCACGAGACAAACACAACAACAAGGTTCACGCGCTGCTAAAGAAGAAGAAGAAGGAGAAGGAGGAGTAGAAGGAGGCTAACGGCTAACGGCTAACGGTTCTCCCTCCCGTCCTCCTTCCTCTGCCTTCCCCTGCCTCCTGCACTTTATGATTTGTTGTGTTTTATAGCCGACAGTCCGACCGACGGGCTGCTGCTATCACTTAGTTTATCGCAGATTGGGAGGAGGGGGTGAGGAGGCTGAGGGTGAGGAGAGAGGAGGAGGAGAGGGGAGGGGAGGGTGGCTGAGTGCCAGGGTGGGACGGAGAGAGAGAGAGAGAGAGGAGGGGAGAACAAGAGAGAGAGAGAGAGAATTTCTGTACGTGTGTGTGTGTGTGTGTGTGTGTAGATGACGGGATAGGGTGAGGAGGGGGATAAGGGGGAGGCAGAGACCAGCTGACCTCTCAGTGACCAATGAGGAGCTTCCGTGCATGGCATTCGTTCGCCCTTTTTCCTTTCGATGAAGAGAGGAGGAAGAAGAGGAGGAAGAGGAGGAAGAGGAGAAGGAGGAGGGGGGCTGGGAACTACACAGACCCCCCCCCCCCCTCCACACTTTCTCTCTCTCTCTTTTTCTCATTCTCATCCCTCTCTTCTTCTTCTACTTCTATCTTCCTGCGGTTCCCGGTGAGATTGCGCAATCACACCGGAATCCTCGGCGCGTTAAATTGATTCTCTCTCTCCCTGTGTGTGTTCCTCCGTCTGTTGTTGGACCCATAAAAACCAGCAGCGCTCTCTCCCTCTCAAACACACACATACACTAACACACACACACAACCATACACACACACGCACGCGCAGCCCCTTGGGGAGGGTTGCTGCTGCACCACCAGAGGCAACCGAATAATAAAACATATTCCCGGCGCTTTGCGGGTAATACCGAGCGCATTAAAATGAATTCGGGGAGTGTAAATCACCGCCGGGCACGCGCACTGTTGTGTGAGTGTTGTCCCCGTGCGCGTGGATATGAGTTAGCTCACAATTGAGAGTGTGTGTTGGAGGTGTTTGCGTGTTTCTAATTGGTTTATTTAGAGGGATGGAGGGATTCATGGTGATGGGAGTCCTCCTCTCTCCATCAGAGCAGGGTTTGATAATCCGGGAGAGTTTCCTGAACATAATCTGGATCTGCTGGAGTGAAATGAAGCCCGTGTTGGTCCTGACTGTGTGTGTCTGTGTGTGTCTGTGTGTGTATGTTCCAGTTGTGTTTAATCAGAGCAGAGTGAGTTATGATTTTCTGCCTCTCTGACACTGATTAGGATGAAATGTAAAAGGAGAGGAGGAGAGGAAACAGTGCAGAAGTTTTTCCTAATTTTTTCCTGACACTGATTAGACCTCAGCCTCGCGCCTCAAACTCCCTCCACGAGGCTCATTTATATCCAGGTGAAATATCCTCTATGTGTACAAACGAGCCTGAAAACACAGATTTAGTTTTATATACATGTTTATAAAACTAATCTGACTCTATATTAAAAATGAACCTCACAGAGTTTTAATTCTTAATTCCTCCTGAAATGAAAAACAGGATTTAAAATGAAATAATTACTTAATGAGAAACATGGTTTTTCCTATAAAATACATCCCATAATAGTTCTTTTTATTTTTTATTCATCACTGACAAACCGCCTCATTACAGTTCGTTAATATTTTACGCGTTTTAACATGAAACTATAAACTTTAAACTGAAACTAAATTACTAAACTATTAAAATGTGTTTTTTTTTCACAGCCAACATTTTTACTACAATTCTACATCATAGATTTAGTATTTTACGGACCACGCGTTTAAAACAACAGAGAAACTAAAGTAGGAGAGCAGATTTACGCAGATGATAAACACTACAGGCCTCTCTACTTCAACTCTGAGAATTATAACAGAGAGAGAAGTCAGATATCCTACCCTCCGAGGACTGTTTCTTTTCTACTTTTCCTCCAGAGAAAGAGAGATAGAGAGAGGGTAAAAGAAAAGAGCAGCACTCTCTCTCTCTCTCTCTCTCTCTCTCTCTCGGCCTGCTTTTCATTCACGCTTCCAAACGGAATATGTGTCGCTGAGGTCGTAAAATAACCGCAGCCATAAATAAGTCTCTCCCTCTCTGTGTTTCCCCTACAGGCTCTGACTTGTCTGCAGACAGTCCGACTGACAAATAGAGACAAAGACTCTATTTTTACTTTAACTTTACACCCTCCCTCTCTCCCTCTCTCTCTCAGTCCCTCCATCCCTCCATCCGTGCCCGAGTCTGCTGCCTGAAAGTCTCGCCCGAGCAGAGGGACAGATGATGAGTTTAATCCTGGACTCTCTCTCTATCTCTCTCTCTCTCTTTGTGTTTGTATATGCAGGATTACTCAGACATGAATCTCTCTATTTTGACTCTCATTTCTGACCTCTCTCTCTCTCTCTCTCTCTCTCTCTCTCTCTCTCTCTCCCCCTCTCTCTCTCTCTCTCTCTCTCTGGCAGGGCAGGACGCTCCGTTTCCTCTCGGCTTTGTGGGAACGGGAAGCGGCCACATTGTGCTGGAGCTGCTGTGGTTTAATCATTAATATGAGCTCTCCGAGAACACGGTACACACACACACACACACACACACACACACAAACACACACACACACACACACACACACACACACACACACACACACTCACTCACTCACTCACTCACACTCACAAACACACACAAAGGTAATACTGTTATTACACACACAGCCTGTTATTATCACGTGACTGTGGTGGTTTTGGCCCGGTGTCAGCGGTACCTCCTAAATCTGATCCATGAATCTCTGATCTGACTTTCTGACAGGAGTGTGCCTCTCAGACTGATCAGAGTTAGTGTCAGAGAAATAAAAACGAGCTGCAGTGAAATGATGAAGTGTTAAAAACCTGTTTACAGTGTGTAAAATTAAACGGTAACACGCTGCGTAAATTAACGACAGCGCGCAGCAGGTGAGGCGCACAGAGCCGCTGTCTGAACACGTTAATTCATCTGTTTATCAGCCCGAAAAATACACGTGAATTACGCAGAATTGATTTGACTTTACCTCTCTGACAGGTGGGTCAGAGTCAGCTCTGAAAAACACAAAATTCACCCAAACTTAAGGCTCAGACTGAAGCGCCTGATGGAGTAAAAAGTTGTTTTTCAATCCTAAAAAGAAACAGAAATACTTCTTAAATCACTAATTTAGGTGTGACACAAAAATTTTAAATTAAAAGTGATTGTAAAGAGATATTACAAAGCTTCGTACAAGACAGATAAACCCAGGGAATACTTTAAGAGTTTCAGAAAATGTGGATGTAATGTTGCAGGGAGTACAAATATGTGTTTATACTAGTATGTGCAGAAAAACTTAAGTGGCACATCCGTATTTTTTGTGTTTTTGCCGCCTATAAATAAAAGTAATCAATGGGAATAGATGACAAATTAATCAGACTTTAAGTTACTGAATAAAAGTTTAAATCCAGAGAAGTTCATGAGTTCAGAGTCCAAATTAAAGCAGACGTCCTCCTGTTTAAATGTGATTATTATTGTTTTTATTATAATTATAGTTTTCTCCTTCCTTATGTAATCACACAGCAGCAGCAGCAGGATAACGTAAAGGTGTTCATGTGACTCACCTGACTTCACCTGAAGGCAACAGTGTGACCTCATTCCTGCCTCAGTATCATGTGACCTCCCTGACATCTTCACACAGTAACCTGGCCTTAACGCGGAGGTGTCTGACTCTTGTGTTCAGTACAGGTGTGTTCGAGGAGGAGCAGCAAACAAACAAACAAACAAACGGAGGAGGAAGAGGAGGCTGTAAAGTGTCTGTGAAGGAGAGGCAGATAAAGAGATGATGGAGGTACATACCAGCTGTCACTCTTCTCTCTCTCTTTTTATCACCACTTTCTTTCACTTTCTCTCCGCGCATTAACATTCTTGTGAAGTTGAACCAGAGAAGAAAAGTCAGCAGCAGCAGGTTGTTGTTTTTTTTCTTCCTCTCTCCAACACAAAAGCATGAAACACTAATCCAGAACTTTTCCACGAGGCCTTAAGTTGGAGTAGACCCACTCATGATCATTAATAATATTTAACGGCAGTGGTTCGTCTGTGGGAGGCCGCAGCGGCGCAGAAAATAATCCGCCTAATAACGGCGCGTTAGGGTTTGTTCGTGGGGTTAAATCGCGCTGTGTGATAATTACAACCTGCGGGATTTTCAGAGGAGGTATAAGTGTGTGTAAGCATGCGCAGTAAATCGTGTCTGTTAGCTGTGATTGAGCTGCAGAGTAAAGAGAGAGGAGAGGAGAGGAACTCCAGGAATCTGAGAAACTTCAGAGATCATCGACAATTAAAGCAGGAGGACTCAGACTGCTGCTTTATGGCTCCTCTCTCTTCACCTCTCTCTCTCTCTCTCTCTCTCTCTCTCTCTCTCTCTCTCTCTCTCTCTCTCTCTCTCTCTCTCTCTCTCTTTGACCCTCAGGACTTTTATGGCTTTATGACCGTTTATGACTCCTTGTAAAGTCCGAGGAATGGCGACGAACTGAAAAACAGGCCCGCAGCAGCAAACAGCAGATGAACAAATGTGCTGCACACACACGGACACACACACACACACGGACACACACACGGACAGTGTACAGTTCATCTGCGGTTCATTTCTGGGTCGGCTGAGCTCCAAACCGCCTCTCTTCACTCCGTTTTCATGAACACACACTCAGTGAATAATTAACTGTCTATGAAATTAAAACCCAGATTATTTCCACTGCCTCACATTTCTTTTTTTTTCCTCCAGGTTTTTATTTTCAGAGATGATTTGGCTGCAGCAGGAGACTCCAGGAGCGCCTCACAGAGGAGGTATGTTTGATATTTATCCATGAAAACAATCTGAGAGTTCTAATTTATCAGTTTAAAATTAGAGCAATAATAATTATTAAACTCACGGCTGCTCTGAAGATTGTTTCTTCATGAATTTAAAAGTTTTAACACTTTGAAAGTTACGTTTTACGTTAAAGTAAAAATGAACTTTTTCTCCCTAAAGTTTAAAAACTTTAAATATTTTAAATGAACTGTTAATTTATTCTGAATCACATAAAACTTTCCCTTTAACACTTAAAAAAAATATAAATGTATTTTTCTTTTACGCACGTTGTGCCCCGAGCCTTGTGTCCGTGTGTGTGTGTATGTGTGTGTGTGTGTGTGTCCGTGTCCGTGTCCGTGTCCGTGTCCGTGTCCGTGTGTGTGTGACCTCAGCTTAGTTAATATTAAACTCCAAGAATTTCCCTCACTTTGCATTTTTCTCTGTTTTTTTCTGACTGAATGTTTTTCATCGTCTCCAGGAAGCGCGAGCCGGCTGGTCGAGTCCTTCACGGCACCTTGAGCTCGTGCTCAGGGTCAGATCACCGGACTGTTACCGGAGGGCGCGAGCGCTTCGGTCACGCCACCACGCCAGAGGCCCCGGGACCCGTTAAAGATTAACGACGAGGTGAATGCAGAATCACGGGAAAGAGAGAGAGAGAGAGAGAGGGAGGGAGAGAGAGAGCGTGTTTTTGTGGAAGTTTAACGAGCACGTACATCACATGATCTAAAATACTGCATTTAAAAAAGAGTGTTATTACTAATTTATTTTTATTTTTATTATTATTATTATTATTATTATTATTATTATTATTATTATTATTATTATTTATCTTTATTTGTATTTAATTTAATCATTAGAATAAATACAGGCCTATTGCTGTAATTATTATTATTATTATTACTACTACTACTACTACTACTACTACTACTATTATTTTTATTAATTTTATTACTTTGATTTTATTAATTTATTTTTTTCACAATTATTAGACCTATAATAATGATAATAATAATAATAATAATAATAATAATAATAATAATAATAATAATAATAGTATTACTATTACTACTACTACTACTATTATTTTTTATTAATTTTATCATTTTATTTTTATTATTTATTTATTTAATTTATTATTAGACCTATCATTTTTACTATTATTATTTTTAATAATTATTGTTACTTTTATTTTATTTTATTATAAGTATTAGTTTTGTTATTGTATTTTGTCAATTGCTAAAAGTTCAGATAAAACTTAAATCAAACTAACAACACCTAATGACCCCAAAATGTAAAAAACGGGATATTTCAAAGTCACTTAAATGTATTTAATGTCTTTTTCCTCTCTTTATTCCTCTGAGTCTGTAGTGTATTTTTTTAATTCAAACAAAAACCAACAAACTCCAATAAAAGTGTATTTTTTAAACAGTACGGTGGCGCTTTTGGGTCGTTTTTTGGCGCATCTGAATAATAATAATGTGGGATCCCCTCTGTTACGACCACCCTGATGATCATAATCTAAACGCACAGAAATCAAAAAGTGTTCAGATGTCGAATAGAGAGAGAGAGGGGTGGGGGGTAATGATGAGGGCCTATAGATTTTTCTATCTGATTTTTACGCACTGGAGTTGATTTTCAAAGCTGGATTAGAGGCAGATGATGCTGGCCTCATAAATTAAACAACCTCTGTGGATTACTGCCCCCCCACCCCCCCACACACACACACCCACCCTCACCCCCCACCCCCTTTCTTCCCCGCCTTCATAATCACACACACATGAATACACACGCACCTGGATGCACACAGCTGGGGGTTTTGCAGATCTGCCAGTAAAGATGATGAAACCACAGAGCAAACAGACTTCTTTATGTTTACTCTTATGGGCACACGCACGCGCACGGGGGAGCCGCTGGTTGCCTCTGTTTATAGGAAACGGTGACCCTGACCAATCAGCAAAGATTTTACACCCCGAGTTTCTTTTTCCTCTGGGCTAAACGCACACAGAGTCATTTGTGTGCTCTCTGACGCGCATGGATTCCTCCACGCCTCATTCACCGCCAGGCCGAACCTGCAGCTCCCCCTCCGAGCCACAAATCTGTCTCTCCCTCCTTCTCCCTGCCCTCACTTCAAAGAAAGAAAGAAAAGAAGCCAACAACCAGCAGGACAAAAGACATGCACGGCCAACAACTCATACCCACACCGTCACGTGGTGCGCGCAAATTCACGCGCTTCACAGCCTCTCCTCAAGTCTGGGCAGCTTCCAGAGAGGACGGAAAGTAGGGACACATCATCAGTTTGTTGTAATACAGTGCAAAACACACACACACTCTAACACACACACTTACACACACTCTCCTCTCCCACAGCACTTCACACCTTCCAGCGTGGACACACAAACATTCATCACCCGCGGCATGTCTTGTGTTTATATGAGTCTTTGACGAGTAGGTATTATTACGCTGAAGGATGTGTTTTTGTGGGGGAGCTCCGGTACTGCGCTCCTCTCGTCGCTAGATGGCAGCAGAGCGTTTTGGAGGAGCGTGTCGAGGCTGCGGCGGTCCTCAGGGTCACACTCAGCCGCCGAACAGCTGCAGGATCCCGGCTGAGTGTGAGTTTGAGCACCGCTGCTGCAGCTTCTGCTCAGTTTGGATGTCAAAGTTTGGATTGATACAGTTTGGATAGATTTAAAACTTTAGAATAAAATAAAAAAATAAAAATATAAAAAAAGGTTTCCACACAAACAAAACACCTGATTTCACCCGTGCGTAAAAGAAAACAGAGAAGAAAGAAACGGTAGATGCGCAGCCGTAAAAAGTCAGTGATCAACTCCTAAAAATATATTTATATTTTAAATAAATACTAATAATAACATTTCAGAGGTAAGATAATATTTTGACTTAATAGAAAATGTTTGGAAATAAATATTCAGCGGAGCCTGTGCGCATGTCTGAGTGTGAGAGAAACGGAGCTTTACACTCATGATATATTAAAGGAAATATGGTTTAATCAAAATACATATATTTATAATAACTAAGTCATGTGGCAGTTTTTATACACACACACACACACACACACACACACACACACACACACACACACACACACACACACACACACACACACTCCAACTGTACAGGACTTTTCAGATAAAAACGTGTCTCTATCAGATCAAAGACGGTCGTAAAAATTTCACACCGTTTTTATTTCCACAAACTGACAGATTGAACAAAAAGACAGAAAGTGAAACACTCAGAAACAAAATGAGCTCTCAGAGTCAGAGGTTAGGTTTCAGCTCCAAACACGGCTGTATCCTGTAAAAACACGGTGTCGATATGAAACAGACTTTAACCTTCACACTAAATTATAGAAAAAAAAAAGGTTGTGTCATTTTCTTGTCAGATGTGTTGCCGTTTTTTTACGGTGTCTGTGTCTCCTTTTTCTCTTCTCTGTCATGTTGTGTTAAATTAATGTCGGTTTCAGGTGTGCACGGTGTGTTTGCTCGGAGTGTTTCTGCAGAAGAGACAATAAACGGAGTGTCTGGTTGAACTGAGCATGCGTAATGTTGCGTTTTCTTTCCAAAACAAAGTTAGAAATACGAGCTCGTTTTACACAAACATGTTTGGAGCAGAAACTGAATCTGAAGAAGGAAAATCATCTCTGAACCTTTTCAACCTTCAGCTGCTGGACACTGAAATCTCTCTGAATCTGAGTCTAACGTTAACGTCCTTCTTTGTACTTTAACTCACATAAAAAACCGTTTCGTGGTAGAATCTATTTCTATCACAGAAATAGATATTCAGCCGATTAAACGCCCTTTTATTTTTTATATTTTTTTAATGTTGTTATTGCTCCACAAACGTCCCAGAGTCACGACAGACCACAACAGACTTGTTTTTTTTCTCATGAATTAGATTTTATTTTGCCACATCTTTATATTTGTATATATTTTTAGTCACTATTGTTTGTTTTTAAAAAAAAATAAGGGGTAAATATTCTGACTGATTAAAAGTCAAACGGGGCTGGTTGTAGGTCCTACAAGAACATTTCTGGTGTGCAGAGACATTTTACGCACAGCGGTCTGCAGACAAACTCAGATTATTTACGCCTCGTAAAAATAAATATTTGCTTCTCTTTCAGAGACACAAACTGGACCTAAACTAGCTCTTTTTTTTTACTCAGGATTCACTGATATTTAGAGCTTGATTAATTAAACCAACAGAGGTTAGTTTGGAGCAGTTCATATGTAAAACTTTGCCAAACGGTAACCTCGTAAAAAAAATATCCGTTTTTCACATTTGAAAGAATTTAGAAACGTTGAAATAACTTATTTATGTGAATATCACGTTACAGCTGAACTTCTGCGTTTTAGCTAAGACAGAAGCAGCTGCAAATGATCTTAATATCAAGTCAGTCATCCTATTTCTGTGACAGAGAAGGACGATGGAAGTAGAATAAGTGTTTCTGTTGCAGAGCTCGTTTTCTTTCAGCTGCTTTAGCATGAATACATGTGTAGATGTGTGTTTCTAAATACGGCTGCAATCATCACAAACTCACATCAGTGAAACAGAGAGGAGCTGATCCTGGTGAAGAACAGAGGTCAGGAAAAATGAGTGTGAGTCAGTCTGAGTGTTTTTGAGGGATGGAGGGATTCCCTCTGTAGCTGTTTGATATTTGAGAGGGCAACAAATTGGAGAGCAGACAGACACACAGACAGGCCTGCAGATGTGTTTTTTGGGGGGAGAGGGTGTTCTGAGGGGGGGGGGGGGGGTCCTGGTCAGTTAGCTGAAGAAACAAAACAAAAAGAAAGAAAGAGAGAAAGAAAGAGAGCTCCCCCCGCCGCAGGGAGGAAATGAGAGAGGAAACAAAGTCATAAAAGTGGGCAGGACGGAGCGAGACAGAAACACATTCCTGTGTCTGTAGTAGGCCTGCACCAACACACACACACACAAACACACAAACACACATAAACACACACACACACTGGGGCAGCTGGAAGAACCTGGAAGCTGTTCTACTGAGATCTGGAAGTGAAACAATTCAAACAACAAAACCGACAAACCCGAGAGCACAAAAGAAAGAAAACAGTCAGCCGAGGAGACAAACACAGACACACACAAACAAAGACACACAAACACAGACACACACAGACACAAACAAACACAGACACAGACACACAGACACAAACACAGCAGCAGCAGCAGGATAATGAAACATGTTTAAACTCTGAAACAGGTCTGATCCAGCACACCTGCCCTCACTCCAAACCCTGCGCCCCCCTCTCATGTCCACCTCTGCCCCCCTCCCTCTCAACGTCAGATAATCTTCCGGATCTGCTCGAGCCGATCTCCGGCTCCTCTGCAGCTAATCCAGACCCACTTCATCTGGATAATTCATCACGGAGCCTAATCCTGCGTGGAAGTGCTCTCTAATCCGAGCTGGAAACTAACACCTCATTTATAACCTGCAGGTATCTCAGCAGCAGCAGCCTCCTCCTCGCGGTCAGGCGCAGCAGACGCGCCGCGCCGCGACCTCCTTTTACTCCCAAACAGCAGCAGCAGCAGCAGACCCGCCGGAGCAGGAGCGGACACGGAAAAGCTCTTACCGTTTGTTGATAATCCGTCACGAGCCCCCGCACACCTGCAGACCAGCTCGGTGTCCCGCGTGCAGGCAGCTCAGGCTCTCTGGAATGGCACGAGACAGCCCTGCCGAGCGCAGAGCGGATGGATGGATGATAATTGGATGGAGGGGTGTCGGCGCGAGGAGGTGAGGATGATGATGATGAGGAGGAGGAGGAGGGGTGCGTTTCCCGTTGTCACCCGGTCGTCAAAACACCGTCGTCATCTTCATCACCGCCTCCTCCTCCTCCTCATCTTCATCCTCCTCGCGCTGAGCCCAAATAATCAGCGTTAAAACCAGGAGGTCAGCCCGGGTAAAGGAGGCTCTCCCCGGGTTCGGTCTCTCCTCATCAGCGGAACCGTCCCCACCTCGGTCCGCCGTTTGAGCTCAGACAGCAGCACGAGACCAGACGGAGCACGGAGCCATAGCAGAGGGAGGAGGAGGAGGTGGTGGTGGAGGGAGGGGGCGGGTTGTTGTCTCTCCTCTTGCCGGTTCTTCCACGCTCACAACTAGTTTTCTCATTAACTAGTCCGTTTAATTAGAGCGCGGCGCTAATTTTCCTCGCGGTTGCCGGGGCTCCGCGCGGCGCCTCGCGAGCCCCCGGGCAGCGAGCTGAGCTGAGCTGAGCGCGAGGCAGGAGAAGCGGCAGCTCGGGCCGGAGCTGAGTGCAGCAGCAGCAATATAGCCACTTGGGAAATCATAAAAAGTTCATGTTCACGTTAAGCGCGTCCACATGACCAGCCCGTCGGCCAATCCCGGCGCGCGGCCACTCATAAACTTGTATCACAAAGTTGTAAATTTTCATAAAACAACAAGGAATTTATTGCATTTCTTCATGGAGAGCTGTGAGAGGGGAGCTGCTCCTTCTCTTTCTCTCTTCCTCTGAGCCGCCATTTTCTGCCTCTCCTCCTCCTTCTTCTTCTCCTCCTTCTTCTGTTTAAAAACATCAGCTTAAAAAATGTAGACATGAAAAGTCAAAATCAGTTTTCTGTCTCTTCCTTAAACTGTGTCCGTGTTTGTTTTATTCAAGATCTAATACTCCTCTGAGCAGCTTTATTCATCTGCAGATGTTTGGATTGTATTTTGAGTGAAAAATTGGTCCAAGATGGAAAATAATTCAAATACACAAAATAAAAAAAAGACCCACGACTAAAACAGAGAAGACTAAACTTTATAACACAAGGTGGCAGAATTTGACAGAGCTAAAGCTAACACTCTCCTCATGATCTCACATTCATATTTATTCATAATTCCACCATCAGAGGAAGGAGGTGAATTCCCTCCTGAGGATCCAGGTCTGTGTGGTCAGGGTGAGGGTGAGGGTGAGGAGGACTCCGCCGCAGTGTGGAGATCCGGGATGAAGGTGTCTGTGACTGAAAGCAGCTCCGAGGTTGAAGCCTCCTCTGTGGGTGGCGGCAGAACACCAAAGACGATCACAGCCGTGTTAGAGAAGTCTCGATTAGTCGAAGGTTGTAAAGACTCTCTGTTATCAAACACACATGAAGTGAAACTGCAAACTCTGAGACATTATTTCAGGAAACACTCAGATCAGGAAACACTCTGCTCTGTCTCTCTGTTGTTCTTGTTTGTGTCGACATGCTGCAGCAGGGTGAAATGCTAAACACTTTCTGAGTAAAGTGGACGTGATGTGGGGTTCTGGGGTTATGTGGGAATATCAACAGCATCACCTGGGTGTTGTTGCAGCTCTGAAAAGCCGTGCGTAAAAGCAATTTCGCAATGCGGCATCACGTCACCATTTTACGGCCTGCAGGCCCAGCAGAGCCGCAGGATGCTCAGAAGCGCAGCAAACACACCGCAGTCTGTTTTTTTGAAAAAATTCTTGTATTACAACAACCGAAATCAGAAAAAAACAGAGTCTGAGCCCAAAGCTAACACGTCCTGAATGTTAAACACGCGAGGACCCGCCTCTTCTGTGGCGCACAAACACACGACTCTGCGTCTGAAAACCGCAGTGTCCAAATGTTGAATTAAAACTTAAACTTCACAATTAAAAACGTCCATGAGGTTCGAGGATGTGAAACTATATTTTTAACTAAATATTACACACCAGGGGAACAAAATCTCGCTGCACCGAGTCCTCTTGATTTGGTTACCGCCAACTATACCTGCACCAGATTAACATCCACGAACCTACGAATGATTCCAGATTCTTGTTTGCGTAAAATATCACATCCAGAAATAACAAACACCGATCACACGACGAACAGCATGTCTGGAATAAAACCTCGGTGGTCTGTGGAAATCCCTGTGCAGCACAGGATGCGTCCAGTTTTAGTTCAGCTTCAGAAAACTTGATGTTAAACCTTCAGTGACCCACGCGTGACCCCTCGGGCACCGTGTCTGGTCAGCAGCAGTAGAGTCGGATCTGTTGTTTCCTCTATGCAAATGTCCAGGGTTAAAAATTAACAGAAACTGAAGCAGCAGCAGCAGCGAACAGGAGGCACCAACAGGCCGCTCGATCCTCGTTCTGTTGCTCTCTTTGTGTTTGCAGCTTTTATTGGGTTTCCGGCCTTTTCATGGATGCAATAAAGACATTAGGACCTGCTACACCCCCCACACAACACCGCCCGTCACCACTTTATGTGGTTTGAACAAACAGCAGAGGACTTCCAGAGTAAACCCACTCTACCACACATTTCTTTTTATTTGGTGAGTCTTTGCGCAGCTTGAACGGAGCAGCTCTGGACGGCGGAGGGACACGAAGCTGACACACTCGGAGGAGGATCTCAGGTAAACGTGCGGAAACTGTGTGTAGCATAAAATTTAGAAAACCACGTCAAAATAGTCCGAAATGGTTAATTATTATGAGTGAGAAATAATTAAATTAACAGAGTTTATATGAAGGCTGAAGGTTCAAATATTTGTCACCTGTGTACACAGTAAACATGGTTTATTTTAGGAGCGTACGGGCGTCCATGAATGTGGTTTATAATGTGTGAAAGTCCTGATCAGAGTATCTGCAGCTCATCTGCAGCAGGTCAGTCATTTCCAGTTTGACTTCAGTATTTTCTGAAAAAGTTGCTCCTGATGGGGGCTGTTCTCGGGGCATGCTCTAAAAGGTGCAGTTGGAAATGTAAAAATAACCGCCTTGACCTGGATGTAAGGGTTTGTTTATTTTTCCTTTACGTCAAGCAAAGACACGATTTTTACATGAAGTGACACATCAGTGAGTTTAGTAAAAATTTACATTGTTATTGTGACATTTACATTTACATCGATATTATATATGAAAATGTAGACGTGTAATAAAGTAAGTTTGGAACAAAAACTCTAATGTTTACCGTTATCTTTCATGATACAATAAATTTTTTGTTTTTTTATAAATTTTATAATAAAAAAGTGTTTGGTTTAAAAAAGTGTTAAAAAAATATTTTGAGAAAAAAGTCACAGTATAGCATGTTAAAAATGTCATAGTACTGTAAGATTAAAAAAATATAAAAATTTTAATAAAAAATATCACTGTATAGTATGCTAAAAGATTTTCATGGTTAAGTATGATAAAAAATTCAAATTTTAGTTTGAAAAAATTATCATAGTACAGTATGATAAAAATGTCAATGTATAGTATAATAAAAAAAAATTTTAGTTTCACAAAAAAATCTGTATAGTTTGTAAAAAATGTCATAGTAAAGTATAAAGGAAAATGTAATGTTTTAGTTTGAAAAAAGTAATGTATAGTATGTGCAAAATATTATCGTAAAGTATGATAAAAAAAATAAATTTTGTTTTAAAAAAAGTCATAGTGTGGTAAAAATATCATACTATAATATGATAAAACATTCAAATTTTAGTTGTCTTACCGCTACACAACACTCACAATCAAACTCCAGTGGGGGACACACAGTTGAAGCAAGGTGAGTCAAGTGTCTTTTTAACATTTTTTAACATACTATACTATGATTTTTTTTATATAAAAATCTGAACTTTGACATTTTTTTCAAACTAGAATTTTAAATTTTAATCACACTATACTATTTCATTTTTTAAAAATAAAATAAATTTTTTATAGTACAAAACTATGACATTTTTTAACGCACTATACTATGACATTTTTTTTTCAAACTAAAATTAGAATTTTTTTCTTACTATACTATAACCTTTTTTTAACACACTATATTATGACAAATTTTTATAATACCATACTAGGGCTTTTTTTTTTTACCATACTATAGTATGAATTTTCCATAATTACATTAAAAAAATTTTTCAAACCAAAATATAACATTTTTTAACATACTATACTATGACATTTTTTTAACATACTATACTAAGGCATATTTTAACATACTATACTATGACATTTTTTTTCAAAGTAAAATTTGAAATTTTTCATCATACTTAACTTTGACAAAGTTTTAGCATATTATACTAAGGCTTCTTTTAACATACTATACTATGATTTTTTTTTAAATTAGAATTTTTTCGTCATACTTAACTATGACAAATTTTAAGAATACTATACTAAGGCTTTTTTTTTAACATATTTTCCAAACTAAAATTGAATTTTTATCATACTATACTATGACTCATTGTTATCATACTATACTATGACATTTTTAACATACTATACTATGACATTTATTAACATACTATACTATGACTTTTTTCGAAACTAAAAGTTGAATTTTTATCATACTGCACTATGACAAATTTTTTATCGTTCTATACTCTGACACATTTTTATCATACTATACTATGACGAATTTTTTATCATACTATACTATGACATTTTTTAACATACTACACTAAGGCATATTTTAACATACTATACTATGACATTTTTTTTCAAAGTAAAATTTAAATTCTTACGCCATACTTAACTTTGACAAAGTTTTAGCATATTATACTAAGGCTTCTTTTAACATACTATACTATGATTTTTTTTTAATTAGAATTTTTTCATCATACTTAACTGTGACAAATTTTAAGAATACTATACTAAGGCTTTTTTTTAAACATACATAATAATATATTTTCCAAACTAAAATTGAATTTTTATCACACTATAATATGACTCGTTATCATACTATACTATGACATTTTTAACATAGTATACTATGACATTTTTAACATACTATACTATGACTTTTTTCTAAACTAAAAGTTGAATTTTTATCATACTACACTATGACAAATTCTTTATCATACTTTACTCTGACACATTTTTATCATACTATACTATGACGAATTTTTTATCATACTACACTGACATTTTTAACATACTATAATTTGAAACTTTATCATACTATACTATGACGAATTTTTTATCATACTATACTCTGACACATTTTTAACATACTATACTATGGCATTTTTTTAACATACTATACTATGACATTTTTTTCCAAAGTAGCATTTGAATCCTTACTCCAAACTTCACTATGACAAATTTTTTAGCATACTATACTAAGGCATTTTTTAACACACTATATAATATTTTCTTCAAACTAAAATTGAATTTTCACTTTACTATACTATGACGAATTTTTATCATACTATACTATGACATTTTTTAACATCATAGATATTGATATTTTTGTCAAACTAAAATTGAATTCTCATTATACTGTACTTTGACGAATTTTTATCATACTTTACTATGACACATTGTTATCATACTAGACTATGACATTTTTAACATACTATACTATGACATTTTTCACATACTATACTATGACTTTTTTCCAAACTAAAAGTTGAATTTTTTTCAAACTATACTATGACGGATTTTTTATCATACTATATTCTGACACATTTTTTTCGTACTATACTATGACATTTTTTTAACATACTATACTATGACATTTTTTAACATACTATAATTTGAATTTTTATCATACTATACTATGACAAATTTTTATCATACTATACTATGACATTTTTTAACATACTGTAATTTGAATTTTTATCATAGTATACTCTGACACATTTTTTATCATACTATACTTTGACACATTTTTATCATACTATACTATGACATTTTTTTGCAAAGTAACATTTGAATTCTTACGTCATACTTAACTTTGACAAAGTTTTAGCATACTATACTAAGGCATTTTTTTTAACATACTTTATAATGATATTTTTCAAACTACAATTGAATTTTCATTATACTATACTATGACGAATTTTGATCATGCTATACTATGACATTTTTATCATACTATACTATGACGAATTTTTATTATACTATACTATGACATTTTTTAACATACTATAATTTGAATTTTTATCATACTATACTGTGACGAATTTTTTATCATACTATATTCTGACACATTTTTATCATACCAAACTCTGACACATTTTTATCATACTATACTATAACATTTTTTTCCAAAGTAACATTTGAATTCTTACGCCATACTTAACTAAGACAAATTTTTATCATACTATACTATGACATTTTTTATCATACTATAATTTGAATTTTTATCATACTATACTATGACTTTTTCCAAACTAAAAGTTGAATTTTTATCATACTATAGTATAGTATGATAAAAAAGTATGATAGTATGATAAAAAATTCGTCATAGTATAATACTATGACGAATTTTTTATCATACTATATTCTGACACAGTTTTATCATACTATACTATGACATTTTTTCAACATACTATACTATGACATTTTTTTCCAAAGTAGCATTTGAATTCTTACGCCATACTTAACTATGACAAATTTTTAGCATACTATACTAAGGCATTTTTTTAACATACCATATAGTGATATTTTTTCAAACTAAAATTGAATTTTTTATCATACTATACTATGACGAATTTTGATCATGCTATACTATGACATTTTTATCATACTATACTCTGACACATTTTTATCATACTATACTTTGACATTTTTTTCCAAAGTAACATTTGAATTCTTACACCATACTTAACTAAGACAAATTTTTATCATACTATACTATGACATTTTTTCAACATACTATACTATGACATTTTTTTCCAAAGTAACATTTGAATTCTTACGTCATACTTAACTATGGCAAATTTTTAGCATACTATACTAAGGCATTTTTTTTAACATACTATATAATGATATTTTTTACAAACTAAAATTGAAGTATAGTATAGAAGTATATGTTAAAAAATGTAATAGTACAGTGTGATAAAAATGTCATAGTATAGTATGTTAAAAATGTCACAGTACAGAAAGTCAAACATATCTTATATAGTATGTTAAAATAATGCCATTATATACTATGATAAAAAATGTCATTATATAAATTTTAAAAAATCGCATAGTATGCTATGATAAAAAATTTTAAATTTAAGTATGAAAAAAATCATAGTATAGAATGATAGAAATGTCATAGTCTAATATGATAAAATGTCGTGGAATAGTATGATAAGTATTATATTTTATTGTGAAAAAAATCTCATAGTATAGTTTGTTAAAAAAACATATTGGTGTAATTTTAGCTCCTAAATAGGTCTTGTACAGTGATTTTAACCAAAACTCCTTAACCCGACCCTAAACACTTATAACTTGTGTCCGACCTTACTATAACAGGTGTTGTTCATGTGCAGATTAACACACGTGAAAAGGTGTGTTATAAAACACACTCCTCCACAGTGAAAATGAAACTCCAAAGCGATGCAGCTCCACTGTTAGTGTGTCTCGTTATGTATGATACAAGGATGAAAATAATCAACACTAAGAAATCTGCAGACCTGTGCCTCATTTACATAAAGCATCTAAGACGATCTATTTTTGATTTGTTTTAGTTTCTCTCTTTTTTATTTAATCATCGTCAGGATACTGGAGTTTTGTTTGCTGCAGTCAGTCCTGCTGTAGGTCACATTTCTCCAGAGACATTATCTGGATTTAGAAAAACCACATGCAGTAAAAAGTTATTGACTCAGACCCCTAATGATGAGTTGTTACTCCCCTAAACTGTCCTTATAACTCCTCCTGACAGCCTCATCGTGTTTGTGGTCGTTTTATTCCACGTTATGGAGAAGTTTTGTCTTTCAACAGGACCGCGAGATGCAGCTGACAGACAGAAATATTTCCAGATGAGAGAGAGAGAGAGAGAGAGAGACATTAGAGAAACACGAGAACAGGTCGAGTTTTGTTTTATTCACATAAACAGAATGAAGTAAAAGTGCATTTCAGTTTGAACATGTTAGAATAGAATAAAACAGTTTTTTAAAACTCCAAATAAAACAAATATCTGTGTCGATAACAAAAGTCACCAATCCAATCCAAAGTTCCCTTACCGTTTGCAGCGAGGTTTTCCATATTTTCGGGGTAGTTAATCATAAATAAAACCTTTTAAAAAACTGTAGTTATGTTTGATTATGAGGATTTTTGTGCACAGTGTAACAGGAGATCCTGAGAAATTACACGTTTGTTTTTAAACGACTGGTGCAGATTTTCAGGATTTAATCATCTCTGGAGAAGGTTTTTCAAACACTCATTCACAGATGGATTAAAAGTCAAAATTCGTGGATTATTTTCTTCTTAATCTACAGGGTTCAGTCGGTGCAAAGAAAATCCTCCTGGCGTTTTTTGGAGGTCTTTTTTTAGAGCAGTGAGGCTCTGCAGAGACGGTTTTTATTCAGACAACATGACTGAGTAACAAACTGCAAACACGACATTAGGCTCAGCTTCCAGAGAAATCCTCAGTGCTCTTATTTCAGAGAAATGTTTTTATCTTTTTCTGCTGCAGGTCAAACCAGAACAAACTTCACTTTTATTATAAACAATCTAAACTAATAATCAATAAAGTTTATCTTGGATTGAAGTCAGGAACATTAGATAAAATCATGTTTAACAGGAGTTTTCTCTCCCTTATTTCTGTTACAGTTTAAAGACAAAAACAAAAATCAGATATTAAAGGTTTGAGAGTTTGTCATTAAATCACATTTTAGCTCTAAATTTATAAAAATGAACTTCAATAAAACTTCATCAGAATCAGCGAAAAAGAAAAAACAAACACTGAGACAGTCAAAGAGTCCCTCCATCACTCCTCTTCCTCCTCCACCTCCTCCTCTTCTTCTTCTCCTCCCGCAGCAGGTGAAGTCCCGGTCGGGGAGCCGCTCCTGGTCTCCCGGTTCTCCTTCTTCCACTTCATCCTCCGGTTCTGGAACCAGATCTTCACCTGTCGCTCCGTGAGGCAGAGCGCGTGCGCCACCTCGATCCGCCGCCTCCTCGTGAGGTACCGGTTGAAGTGGAACTCCTTCTCCAGCTCGAGCGTCTGATGGCGCGTGTACGTCTGACGGCCGCGCCTCCTGTCTGCACCTGCGCACACACGAACAGGTAAACTGATCTAAACTGGTCTAAACTGGTTTTAACTGGTCCCAGTCGGGGAGAGAAAAAGAAACAGACCAGCAGATAAAAAACAAACAAACAATAAATTAATTAATTAATAAAAGTTTAAAGAAATAAAACAAAACAGATGAGCAGATAAAAAAACAAACAATAAATAAATGATAAAAAAAATAAATGATTAAAATTAAAAAAGACCAACTAATAAAAAAAACAGTCAAACAATAAATACATAAATAATTAAAGAATAAAAAAACAGACGAGCAGATAAAAAACAAACACTAAATTGAAAAATCAATGATTAAAAAATAATAATAATAAAAAAAAACAGATGAGCAGATAAAAAAATGGAATCTGAAGTTTAAAGTCCAAACTGTCCAGATCTAAAATCTTCATCCTTTACAAAAAAACTTACCTGGTTTGACTTAAAGAGGTTAAAATTCAGATCAATGATATAATATCTGAGTAAATTTACCTCCTGATATATTAAAAAAATAAAAAAACAATAAGTATAAATGAAAAAAGGTTATTAAAAGTTATTTAAACAACTTTAGTGAAAAGCCAAATTGGACAAATTTTAATCAAAATCAAACATTCAGATTTAAAACACTGACATTAGAGAGATATGTGTCCTTAAGGCAAAAACAGGAAACCAAATGACTTTATTTTGCAGCTCCTCTCTTCATATTTAAATAGATTTCTTATTTTGTTTCATAGTTTAGAAAATAGAAACAGTCTTTAAATCTATTTAACTCTAGATGATTGTTTTCTCTTGAGTCATCCTCCAAAACCTCCTTTTCCTTTTTGTGAAAATGTTCTTACAGGAGCCTATTTTTCGAAAACCATGTTTCAGCACTTTATCAGTCAGCTGGTTTATTTTAGAGCGAGGCAGCGCTCATTTTTCACAGAGTATTAGAAAAAAATTGACTTTCCAATCAGCGTAAAACTGGTTCCCATTACTGGAATAATTTAATCAAAGCTAATAAAGACTCTTCAGTACAGAGATCCTAAAGCCCAGAAAGGAATATTCAGATATTAACTCCTGTGTGAACGTTGTAATTAAAATCAGGAGTTAAAGTTATTGAGCTTCATATCTCTCATGCACGTTATTATTGAAACAAAAAAGAAAATGAGGATAATGTGCACACAAGCAAACACCAATTAGGAAGTTTTGCACACAAGTTATTTTCTCATGAGGATGAATTAAAAACAATATTAAGATATTTATTCTTTCAGACTGGAGAAGCTCTGCAGCTACACAAGTTTTCTACACCTCCATTAAAAAATCAAAAAGTAATACAATCTGAAATCCAACATTTGCAAAACAATTGAATTGTTTTTCTCTCTCTTTGTGTCGTGATGAATAAATATTTCTAACCTCTTCATCAGGTCTGTGTTTTGTATTCTCTTCCTCCTCCACTTCCTCTCACCCGGTTTGCCTTGTGTCTGTGTAAACACCGTAAACCAGTTTGAGGATGAGGTGGTTAATAATGTGGGTTCAGCTGTCCGTCTGTCTGTATTTACCTCAGAGTGTTTGGCCTTAAAGGAGATGTACGCAGACTTCAGTCCACTACATAATTAAAGCAGAACGCTGTAAATGTGGCCGATTGTTGACGCTGATGGTTTTTGTGGAGAAGGATTCAGCTGCAGCTTCTCCGGATCAATAAAGTCATCAGAAACAGAGCCGTAATGAGAACATGTGTAGAGCGCTGATTTCCTCTAAAGAAAGGTGTAAATCTGAGCGTCTTAAATATGCAGGAATCAGAGCAGAGAAACCGGGTTGACCCTCGGTGTTCAGGAGGTCACGCAGCGCCTGAAGGTTAGAGAGAAACTGGGTCACATTTTTACGGCTCAGAGGTCGTCTGCAGGACACACACACACACACACACACACACACACACACACACACACACACACACACACACACACACACACACACACACACAAAAACCTCTGAAGTCTGCAGACTCAGCATAAAGAGAGAGGAACAGACGGGTTTAAGATTGAACTCTGGAATTGTTGCATTATCTTTATTATTATTATTCTCTGATTTTCAGTAAATCTGTTCAGAGACACCTTCAGCGCTCGGCTATCCTGTGGAATCTGTAAATAGACCCTGACCGAGGCTACAGGTCATCTGAGTGGCAATAAAAAGAAACGAGCGGCCTGTAAAAATGGGCTTTGTGACTGTTTGCACGGCCTTTAACGGCGTTAGCTGGTGTTTAGTGAGGGCTGTAAATGAGACACAAACAGGAAATACTACAGAACCACCGAGGGTCATGTGACAGGGGAAAAAACTCTGGATTTTTGGAGTCTACTTCAGCTCAGCTCAGTTCAAACTCTGATTTCTCAAATACAATAAACGCTTTTTCACTGCAGGGACTTTCCAGAAAGACTGGAGCCTTTTACAGGGACTTTTCAGGACAGGGACCTAAATGAAGTTCTTTTAATACGAGTTTATCACACAAAAGGTTGATGCATCAGAAGAGGAGTGACGCACAAAAAGTCACATTTCCACCAAAAGTAAATAGAACTTAATCAATGAGGGCTATTTTGTAAAGGGTTCAAGTTTTCCTGAAGTCCTTTTATGCTCAAAAAGTTCCTGATGTTGAACCAAAGCTGAACACTTTCTATGATAAACAAAGTAACATGGGGCTTTTGAGCTTCTGTCTTTGGTACTTAAAGGTTCCTACAAACTAATTTTACGATGCATTTCCACTCTGATTGAAAAAAAAAAAAACATGTGCTTCACCAAACTGAAACCAAAGTAACGCCCCTTTTTTGGGTTGGACTGTGACGCACAAAAGTCACATTTCCACCAAAAGTACCAAAGCTATTTTATGAGGGTTTTTAGTTTTCCTGAAGTCCTTTTATGCTCAAAAAGTTCCTGATGTTTAACCAAAGCTAAACACTTGGTGGTAAACAAAGTTACATGGGACTTTTAAGCTTCTTTATTCAGTAACTAAAGGTTCCTGCAGACTAATTTTACTCTCCATTTCTGCTCTGACACAAAAAAACACACAACTGTGCTTCACTAAACTGAAACCAAAGTAACGCCCCTTTTTTTGGGTGGGACTGTGACGCACAAAAGTCACATTTCCACCAAAAAGACAGTTTAAGCAATGAGAGATATTTTATGAGGGTTCTAGTTCTCCTCTTCCTTCCCTGAAGTCCGTTTTATGTTTGGAAAGTTCCTGATGTTGATCCATAACTAAACACTTTTTAAGACATGATGGTAAACAAAGTAACATGGGACTTTCAGCATCTTTCTTTGGTACTTAAAGGTTCCTGCATCCTAATTTTACTCTGCATTTCCTCTCTGATATAAAAAAAATACACCTGTGCGTCACCAAACTAAAGTCAAAGTGGAGCTGAAACCTTTGGGGAGTAAAAAACGGTCATTTACTGTTTTTCCAAAAGTCCTGAGGAAAGTTTCTCTGATCTCAAAAGTAGCTCTGGGGACTAAAAGATTGTTCTTGTTCTTGAGGTGGAAACAGGCCTTTAGATGTACCTCTCCCCCTGTCAGACATAAATCTCGGGGACATAAATCCTCCACCTTCAATCGTTTTCTCTCTCTGCCTGAAAATGAGACGAAGAAGACTCCCGACTTTAAGAGCTCGCAGACACAGATCAGTCCTGGCAGTAATGAGACTCTGCAGGTAAGATCTTTATTACGCTCTCTGCTGGAGTCCTGCACATGTTCAACAAGAGTCAGAGCGACGGCGAGGACACGGAGGTCACGACCTTCTTCTGCACTTTTCTGAGAATTCGGGCTTTTGGAGTTTACAGTAAAGGTCTTCACACACATGCTGATGTCTCTATAAAAGTGACGCTTGTGTCTGAAAGGAGGGAGTTGAACAGACACTCAGAGACGTGGACGTAGATCTAATGATGTTTATATCAAACAAATCACAGTTTAAGACCTGAAATGTACATTTTCTCTTTACTGTACTGTTCAGTTTACTCCGGTGTGTCTTCATTCTGGAGGATTTATGTGTGTAAATAATCGGCTAAATTAAGAAACAGATCTGAGTCTATTTACAAGAAGGAGGAAGGTTTTATTATCCGCTTTATTTCTGCTGTTTGGACAAATCTTATTAATATTAGCTGCAGATCTAAACATTCACACACCTGCAGAGTTTTACATCTAAACTGAGATATAATCATATTGTATATTTTAAACTTTCATTCGTGACTTTTTGTTATTTACTTTAAATACCAAACTATAAAAAAATCATCATTTTGAGTTTGTATTTATCCAGGATGAAGAGTCTGAATATTTCCGCAGCATCTTTTGTCGGCGCCGCTCTCCTCTGAACTGGCAGAGAGGATTTTTATTTCAGGCCAAACATCCGGACTTCATCGACTTTAATTAGTATAAATGGATTCAAATGCTGAAAGCAGCATTTTCATGTTTCAAGGATCTTATTAGGAAGATTAGGGCGTCAGATATTTTAGAGGATGATTTATATTTGGATTTTTTATGTCAGTGTAGCTTTCATTAAATGTAATGAGATATTTTAAGAGAAATTTAGACTTCATCTAATAGACGGACCCTGCAGTGATGTTTGCACACGATAAAAGAAGCTGCATGAAGAGAAAATTATAAAACTAAATACAGAAAATTACTGAAGTAAAAGTAAAAATTCATCATTTTCAAGAACACTAAAGAAACTCTGTTACAGTAAAACCTTTCACTGACTGCTGACAACACAACAACACTTTAATTATTAACAAATCTTATTTATTTTTTTCCCCTCTGTTCTGTTTTTTCCCATCATTAGTTAAAGATGTGCCTCTGTTGTCTGGTCTCTGATTTCAACCGTACAGTACAAATATAAGGAGAGAATCAAAGCTCACAGACTGACATGAAAATCTGCCCAGACCTAAGACTCTTATTTTCTGTTTTCTTGTGAAGCTGCATGAAGAGTAAATTACAAAATTAAATATAGAAAATACTGAATTAAAGGTAAAATTCATCATTTTCAAGAACACTAAAGAAACTCTGTCAGGGTAAAGGTGAGCTTCTGTTCTTCTATTTTCAGTCACAACACTTTAATTATTAACTAATCTTATTTATTTTCTTCTCCTTGTCCATGTCTGTTCTGTTTTCAAAGATGAGCATTTGTTGTCTGATCTCTTATTTCTACAGTTCAGAGCAAATATAAGAAGAGAATCCAAGATCACTAATCCATATAAAAAATCAGTTTTTACCTGTTTTAAGTCTCTTATTTTCTGTTTTCTTGTGTTTGGATAAAAAACTCTGTTTGAGGATCTTCACAGTGATGAACCTCAGAGTTTATTCCTCATATTAAAATCTTATTTTGTCAGAATAAACGATAATCTAATCCCTGGAATAAACACTCTGTCCATAAATTCAACACTCATCGGATTTTAAAGCTGAAATTAGATTTTGATGTTTCTGCAGAGCCGGTTATTGGAGGCAGCAGTCAGTGAGTGTGCGTGACCGAGTGTCAGCAAGCGTGCGTGATGGAGTGCGTGCACGCGTGTTTGTATGCGTGAACGTAAAGTGTGTGTGTTTATCTCTATCGGTGATATTTTCTTGCGCTCGCGCTGCCGTCCCTGATTTATATGTTGGAATTCTTTACACACACACACACACACACACACACACACACACACACACACACACACACACACACACACACACACACACACACACACACACACACACACACACACACACACAATTCAATTTATAAAACAAGTGAGTCGGTGTCCTTATAAATCTGCACGTGCGCGTCTCTGCCAGAGCAGCTCGAGCACCCCCCCTTTAATAATAAGCGCTCGCGCGCTCGTGTTTCTCTTATTCGTGTGTCAACGGGAACATCCGGGACATTTTTCCTCCAATCATCTCCAGCGCCCTGGACTGGAATCAGATCTAAATTAAAATCTATAAATTCATTATTCAGGCTGGATGAGTCGACCCCATCACAGAGAGCACACACACACACACACACACACACACACACACACACACACACACACACACACACACACACACACACACTCTTCCTCTCCGTGTTTTTGTTTCGGGTTTCTCTGGTATTTTAAATTGTTTTACTTTTAAACATGTTTAAAAAAATCACCGCCCACTGTTCCTTCTCGATCACTGATCGTTTCATCCTCATCATTTCATCGTTTCATCCTCATCATGTCCTCATTTCATCATTTCAAACAAAATCAGAAGCTCAACAGAAAGTTCGTGTGACTCCAGAAGCCTCGAGCAAATAAAGTTCTTTTAAATTTCATGGATGCCATTTTTATTTCTCCACCCATTCCATCAAACGGCTTCCCAAATGAAAAGCACTCTCACACACTCAACACTGCTCCCTGCTCAGCACACACACTCACACACACACGAGCGCAGACACAAACACGCACACACACGGTGACAGTGAGGGAAACAAATGGGGAAAGATCTGTTCTGGAGACTCCAGCTGACCGGGAAGGACTGATTTCTTCAACACAGGTCAAAGTCAGCCTGACTAGACTCTGAGTAATAGTGTGTGCATGTGTGTGTGTGTGTGTGTTTGATATGTTATGTTTGAAGTATTAATGGAGCTCACACATGAGTTGAACAGCTCTCTGATCCACTGTGCGCCTCCATGTTCCACTCTCTTTACTTTTACGCAGATTTTACGCACGTTTTACGCACAAACACTCTGATCACATTCTCCGGTTTTTCAGCCTCAGCCTCTGCGCATTTTAATGCAAACATAAAACTGCTCTTTGTGCTGGATGTGTTTGTTGTCCGTCGAGGCTCCGAGGCCTAGCAATCCATTCAGCATCCAGCCCGCTGCTGTCACACAAAGACGCTTTTACAATCGGTGGAAAGAGCAGGCATTCAGAGATCAAACCCATCTGCTAATTTATAGTGTTTATAGTATTAGCGGATTGTCGTGACGGTACAATAGCACAAAGGGCTTTCAGTGGGTTAGCTAGCACTGAGAAACACACGGGTGTCAGTGCGGAGAGGCGAAGTGGAGCCGGGCAGAGCAGAGCAGAGCCGACGCTGAATATGAGCGATGACCGCGAGAGGGGGAAGACTTTCTCAGGGGGTTTCCTTCATTTTCAAATCATTTCGTGATAAAACTCCAGACACCTCTGTACTCCACAGTCCCATTCTTAAACACAATACCACCTAATGAATATTCACCGAGTCTTAAATTATGCTTTTATGGAGGTCGCAGAGCCATAAAAGATCTGCAAAAAGAAAGAGAGAGAGAGGGTTGTAAAAGAGGAGAAACAGGCAGACATAGTTCAGCTACCGGCAGTGGCCGCTGCGCAACCGGGCCAAGAGTTTAAAGAGCGTTTAACGAGATTATTGGTCTCACTTCTTTCTCTCTCTCTCTGTGTCTCTCTGTCTCCCACACACACCCACCCCTGGCTCTCACTTTCCACAACCTTTTCTCTAATAACTCTGCTTCTTCTCCGGGGCGCACCTGTGAGACCTGCCTCATTAGTTCATAACTTTTTATCCCACCACCTCCTCCTCCTCCTCCTCCCTCTCCTCACCTGAGCTCCTCATCCAGGGGTATATCCGTGGCCCCTCCTCGTTTGACTGCCTCCTCTGCTGCTGCTGCTGCTGCTGCTCTGAGTTACTCTGCCTCTTGCAGGCTGAAAGCCCCGCGGGCCGCGGGCAGAGCTGAGACCGATCTGGGATCTGCTCTGAGGCGAGAAGCGGCAGAGCTCCTCCTTTACGCACTTCGGCAGGGTGAAAATGTTGCTCGCCGGGCTGGTTACTCCCACTGTTCAGTCCTAAAAGAGACGAACAGAATGACGAAGAAGAGGAGATGGACACAGAACAGGAAGGAGGTGAAGAAGAAGACGACGAGGGGGGAAGAGGGAGTCCCCCGCTGCCTCTCTCATTGGATCCATGGAGGTGATATCCGCCAGACACGAGGGCGCACGAAGAAGACACACCAGGAGCGACAGAGGAAGACGGGAAGGGAGAAGAAGTTGGAGAGTCTGTGAAAAGCATGGCAGAGCAGCTCGCGCCTTGTTGTTCGTATTTGGAAAACAGCGAGTTGGCGAAGTCAGGCGAAGTCATAATTTGGCGCCGCTGATTTGTGGGCCTGGGGCGCTTTAATGTCCACTTTTTACGACGCGCCGTGAATTATTGGCGGGGTATTACTGTCTAGATTTACACCAAAAACACCCACCCACCCAACGCATCCTCCCCTCCCTCCCTGTGCTCCGCGTACCACGTGACCTTGAGTCCATGTGATGTCAAAATGCCCAATGGCCAACGGGGCTTCCCTCCGGATGCAATATTATAATAGCAAAAAATAGCTGGAACACACACATACACACATACACACACACAATTACAGTCTACACACAACAATCAATACACAACAGCTCGGGACATGTCGACTAATCACCGTGCGCACGCGGATCCCGGGAACAAAACGGCTGAGACTGACAAACATCCAACACAAACTCCAATCTTTACTGCCTTCACTCGTCACCTCAGAATCCGGGTGAAACGTGAGCAAAAAAGCGGGAAAAGCCATTAGTGTAGTATTGATTGAAGTGCGAGGGAACGGCTCTGGGCACGTGCGTAAAGTTGCAGAGATGACTAAAAAAAGGAGAGATAGATTTCCCTGTTGTTGTCCATCTTCTTACCCCGAGTCAGACTCTGTGGAGACCACACATGCAGCAGAGGAGGAGAGGGTCCTGCAGCAGAACAAAGCAGCTGTTGTGCCGCTGCTGACCGATCTGTGCAGGCAGAGGGAAACATGGAGAGGTGAAAACAACATCAGAGGAGAAGGAGACACTTCAGTCTAGATGATGATCACCAAACTTTATTTCCTGCCTGAAGGTCGTAGCTCCTGTAACTGAAGGGAAGTGAAGACTTGTGCAGCTTTAGGGTTGAGTTTTTATTTTAAGAACCAAGATGTCACCCTGAACCACCTTCACCTTGAGTTCTGCTCCGGTAAACTCTGTCGTTCAGGTTTTCTTTCATGTCTTGTTCCTCATCCACGATAAGATCTCTCACATTAGATACTGTTTAACAGACCCGGGGGAAGCTGCGCCTGCGTAAAACTCCACTGAAGCGTCGAGCATCAAAGAGTCAACTCCAGAGAACTTTGAGGGAGAGGTTGGAAACGGTTGTTCTTTGACGCACCGGCCTGGAGAAATCAAAATCAGCAGGTCTGGTGTCACTTGGCTCGTGATCTTTTGATTTGGTTAGAAAATTTACGTCTCGGAAGCACACATGGAGCTCATGTGAGGGTCAGTCTAAGACCTAAGAACACATTTTAGAGTTAAGTTCTTCAAAAGCTTCATTTCTGACATCCACAGATGAACAGTTGGTGTTTTGTTCTGAGTAAACGCAAAGGAAGTAGAGAAGGACTCTCTCAGTCTACCTCTGGGAAATTAGGTTATTTTAAATAAGAGTTTATTCGAATTTAACTGAATAATAACTGGAAATCTTTGTCCCCTGCTGCTAAATCAGATTTAAAGGGCCACTCCACTTTTTTAACCTAGTTTTTCAGAGAATCTTGTCTGGTTAGCTGGTGTTATTAAACGTTCAAGCCTGTTTAAGGTTTTCATTCTGACTTTAGGGAGTCTGAATCACCTTAAAAAGTAGGAGGGTGCAGGAAAAGTCAAGTACAACTTGCTGTTTTACTCTGAGAAAAGAGTCTTAAGGTGTTTTGTCCAAAACTCAACATATCTGGGCATTTTCTGATTTTCTTTTGGAGCAGACCGTCTGCATCAGTGTCTTTTAGAACACAAATCCACTTATTTTTTTAAATTAATGAGATCAAATCAGGGCTGACCAATCTCAAGTTGTCAATTTTCATCTCTGTCTTCATTTCCTCAGTCTGACGCAAAAGCTATCCCTGTGCGTAAAAGTCCTGTTCCTTTTACGCACAAGAGCGCCTCATCATGCGTCAACACGGGACGCAGAGGTTCGTGTTTAACAGGGTTCAACACTTTCAGTGAGTGGACTAATGTCTTCGTCAACATCCTGAAGTCAAGTGTACAAGGAAGAGTAAGTGCGCATGCTCAGTTTGTTTGATGTTCCCATATGGAAACAATCCGACTTCAAGTCCTCATGGTGATGATGATGGAGGGCAGAGTAATGGTGAATCTAGAGGCCTGTAATAATGTAAGTGGAGGTGGAGGACCGGGCCATAAATAAGATGATGTTTGGATAGGATGTGGTTGTGAGTGAGTGCGTGTGTGTGCGTGTGTGTGCGTGTGTGTGTACGGAGGCGGCGTCTGTTGTTTTAAGAGGAGATTTCCGAGTCGAGGCTTAAATGTTTGGCCTCGTGAACTGGACGGTTTTATCAGTCTGGGTGCTGACAGACGGCCGAGAAGAGAGAGGGATGGAGAGAATGAGGAGAGGAGGTGAAAGGGAAGAGGACAGCAATGACAGATAAATACATATAATCTCCTCTAAATTGATTAAAATGAGAACAATCAGACAGTCAAATGAAATTACCCCTTCTCCCCGCCGTTGCCTCGTAAAAGAGCTCCACAAAATTACAGTAGTCACCATTTTTATTACGTTTTTTTCTCGTTTTTATTTTTATGAATGTTCTCTCTTTTTTAATCTGCACTGTGCGCATGCTTTTTACCCCAAAAGAGAAAAGGAAGACAACATAAAACAAACACCATCGATCATAAAACGAACTAAAACGAGAAACAACAATTAGAGTGTGTAAAAAAGAGACCCGACCTACTAAAACGGCATAAATAGGCAGTTTCATGTTGTTGGAAATTTCATTAATTGCTACGTCGTCATCATTATCATCATCATCATCATCATCATCATTATCATCATCAATCATTGCCATAACAACAACAACAACATAGAAGTGAGAAGTACAGTAAAAAGTGCACCATCATCTTTTTAACTTAAAAACTATACAGCTGCCAAAGATAAAATTGTTAATGATAAACTTCTAACAATATAGAAATGTTTCACGATAATTGTTCCACAAAGAAAGGGAGGCTATCATTTCTCTTTTTTCTCTTTTTTTCTGCTTTGTTTTAAACACTAGAGTAGACTATGTTTGTTTGACTTGGATTGATCCGTCCCCACCCTCAGTGATCTGTGTTTTTTTTAAAGTTCACTTTCTTGTTTCACTGCGTGGATGTGTGTGTGTTTTTTTTCTTCTTCCCGCCTTTCTACAGTCAGCACATGGAGGCGCGAGGCCCCTCCAGTCCGTCGGTCGCCATTTTGAAAACCCAAGTTCCTTCCACCGATTGGATCGTGGAGACAGTGGGGCAGTCCAATGGCCTTAAGTTAGACAAAAACAACCCCCACCCACCCCACATCACCCACTGTTACCCCATCCTGTCCAACATTTACAGCCCCCCACCCTCCCCCCCAACACCACCCTCCCACCCAGCAGTGTCACCGTTTTTCCTCCCTACATTTGCTTCGGTGTTTTCTCGCAGCAATCCTCACTCACAGCGGCCTGTGACCCCGCGGTTCCCGCCACTGCCACCGCTGCTATCTGGCCTCCTCCACCGCCTCCACCTCCTCCTCCACCTCCACCACCTCCTTCTCCAGCTCCCCCTCCACTTCCACCGCCCTCCCTCAGCTCCTTCTCCCTCCTCTCCCTCTCCACAGCTTCCTGCTCGCTCTTGCTGCTGGGGAACTTGTCCTTGTTGTTCTCCTTCTTCCATTTCATCCTCCGGTTCTGGAACCAGATCTTCACCTGCCGCTCCGTCAGCGCTAGCGCGTGGGACACCTCGATGCGGCGTTTCCGGGTCAGGTAGGGGTTGAAGAGGAACTCCTTCTCCAGCTCCAGGGTCTGGTAGCGGCTGTAGGTCTGCCGGCCCCGCCTCCTACCCGCAGCTACTGGTGGGAGGAGGGGGGAGAGAGGGTGAGGGGAGAGAAGAAGAAAAAAGTGGAGACATAATTAGAGACGAAACTACCTGATCACATCCGGACTTTACCCCAAATCAACCATCCCTCCCCACACAAGAACACCAACCAAACCACCAACTGTAGACCTAAAAAGGCGTCTTCTTTAATATCCATTATTTACATCTACAGGAGACATAAAAGTCAGAATATTATAACAGTAAGATGATTACTCTGGTTTAAATAAATATAATATCAATGTTCCACTTCAGGGTATTTACAGTAAAATACTGTAGAATCACAGTAAAGTGTCTCATATTGAAAGGTGATCCCCACATGTCATATTTTTATAATGAAATATATTCTTTGTATGAATAACAACACTAATATATTACAATACATAGTAATATATCATTGTATGATTGCACTGAACCGATCTTTTTAACTCTAAGTTTCTTTATCCTTTAATTTTTTCTCTTTTTTGTATCTGTATTTATGCTGCTGTAAACTGGAATTCTCCCCTGTTGGACTATTAAAGGAATATCTTATCTTAATGTTACTGTGTCATTTTGTGTGAGTAAGTATAGAGTTGTATCATATTATATTTTGTATCATCATCAGTGCTTGTTTTCCTGAAATATAACAATATCATATTTATCACACTCTATCTGATCCTGTTGTATCCTTGGATATTATATTAAATTGGATGGAATAGAAAAGTGAAATAACAGAACTATTCTGAAGGCGATCATTTGATATAATACTGCATCATATGGCATAGTGTTTGATTGTATCGGGTGATTATCATATCGTATATCATGTTATCATACCGATCATATCGTGCCGTGTTTGGAATCCTGTGATAACATAACAGTGTAATTTTGATTATGTAATACTCTATTATCCAGTGTGGTATTAATAAATATTCTGATTTAGTAACTGAACACAATCATATTAAATTGATTACATCTTGTTTTATTCTATATTGTTGCATCGTTTGGGTTTTTGTCGTATTATATCGTATCGTCCGGTATATTTTTGTACTTTTTTGGTATCAGCTGATGTTAAAAGTTGTATCGTGTCATGTTGTGTCTTTGTTTAATCATATATCATACTGTATGTGCCATATTACTCAGGTCAAGTTGAAATTTGTTGATAGTTTTGATGATTTAGCTCCAACTTAAAAAATAACTCCTGGAGATCCTCTTTTCAGTCTACGTTTTCGTCTGAGGTGCAGATATAGTTGTGTTTGTGTTATTTTGATTATCTTAAATAAGATCAGAGTTGGACAGTAAATGTTCAGGTTTTAAATGTTCAGTAAACTAGTTTAGTTTCCTGTCAGGAGGTGAATTTGACTCTTTTTCTCTGAATCTGACTGATCTGAGGAGGAGGTTTGGATGGAGGTGTTGGTCACACTGAGGACCGGTGGATTCCTTTGTTCTGTGGAGGAGTTCACATGGTCAGTGTCCGCCTGTGAGTGCGCGTGAACACCATGATCCCTCATCTATACACGCACAGACGCCGTTTGTGTTAAAGCCACGTGATGACACGTAAAGTCAGAGGCATGATGTGATTTTTTTAGTGCATGCTTTGAAACATCATGTGATCCTCGGAAGAATGTACACACACACGCGCACACACACACACACACACCAGCGCGCGCACTGTTCCAAAAACTGTTAGCATCCACCCGAACTCCACCAAAAACACATCTCCATCAGCCAAGCGCAATCATTATTCCTAAAACAGAAATATCTACTGAGCACTCAGAGTGCGCATGAATATTTGATGGTAAACGTAAATACATCGTAAAGAGAAAAAGGAGAAGAGGCTCAGAAAGAAGACAGAAGAGAATCAAGATCCATCTGCAGACAAGCGAAGACTTTTCATTAAAAATGCTTCAAACGATGACAAGTGGAGATAAATACAGATTACTGTGAGCCACTGAGTGTGCTGTTTCTTTGTTTGAGCGCAGAGGAGGGAGAGAGGAGCGGGCACACAGACGCAATATCAAATTCATAAATACTTAATAAACGCGCACGGGGTCAGATATCGAGTTTCCTGCAGGAAGGCTGGACAAGCATGAGGAGAAATGCCTCAGAGTTGGTGTTATTTACCTGCAGGAGAGGTGGTGTAATTTAAGAAACTCCATCAGAGCTGCAGAGAGTTAAAAAGAGTCCAACTATGGAAACACAAAAACATCTTTAAAATCAGGTTTTTATAAAAATATTGGTGCTTTAGATGACAACTATATATATTTTTAGTCACACCTTAAGTGAACACAATGGATCAAATTGACATAATTCACGGGGAGAGTTTATTTTTTATTCATATCTTGATTTGTTCGCGCTCCAAACTGACATTTTTACGCAGGATTATCAAGTTTCTGCATTTGATCCTTTTTTACTCCAACTTGTATTTTTAATTAATTCTGTTTTTTTCCTCTATATTATCTAACACTGTGAGCTTGTCTGTATTACATCGCTGTACACAAAGAGGGTTTTTAAGGACATTTTTATGTTTTTATAACCCCGAGGAGGAGCTGCGTAAACGGAGCGCAGCTGGAAAGTTTGTACATTTTGTTTTTTTCTGGTAAAATAAAATATTTTAAAACTTTTTGTAGATTTAAAAATGTTTTTGTTTGATTTCTGTGATGTTTAGTTTCTGTTTTTATCAGTTTTCTACACTCAGACATAATGGAGCCAAAGAGTGGAGTGACTTTGCTGCTGTAAAGATTCTATATTCTCTGATCACATCATGTGCAGCCTGCAGGTAAACCATCTTCACCGTCATTTAAAGAGTCCGGATTGATGGATTTGACTTCTCAGAGACTGCTCTGACTTTCATGTCTTCCCTGTTTAGTCCGTGTTTAAGGCCCAGAGCTGCTTTTGATGGTAAAACATTCACAGAAGAAGAAACAGCAGCAGCAGACAAGGGGGTCTTTATGGAAATGCGTGAACTTGAAAGTGATGTAAATGTCTTGTATGTGTTATCTGTCACGGGGCTGGCGCCGTGATTTCGTGCAGGGGACTAAAGAGAGGTGGGCGCCACATTCACTGCTGTCACCAGCATGAATTAAGGGAAATGGGAAACACTTTCCTGGATAAAATGACAACACAGACGCTTTGATCCGGAGGGGGTTTGATGGAGAAACACACACGGACACTGTGAGGCCGACCTCTGCGCAAACATCCACGGCTGAGAGGATCAAACAGCTCTGAGAGGATAAATCCTCAGATTTGTTTCGTTTGTTTGACATTTCTCTGTTTTATCGTCAGCTGAAGGATTACCTGCTCTTTAGCAGGCCGAGGAAATGAAACAGGCCCCGGGATTATAAACATTTTCAAGAGCTATTACATATGAAACCTTTACAACGCCAATTAAATAAGCCCTAAACAAACGCATGGCTGCTGGCAGTTGACATTTTGGAGGATGGAGAAACAAGGTTTCCACTCGACAACAGAAGCCAATGAGAGCTGAGGCAGAAGGAGAAGAAGACACTAAAACAATTACAGACATCTATATTCATCCTCCTGCCTAATCAGATTCACCTTTTTCTTTTTTTATTCTCAGCCTTCAGAGGAAATAATTGATGATTTGTTTTAATCCTCAGCGGTTAGAGTCGTAAACCGGCTTCAACTCCCGAGTTCAGACTCGGATATTAAACCTGAAGCTTCGGGACTCTGGAGGTTTTCATCTCCACTCTCTTCAGTGTGGGGCTCTAATATGAGAGGAGGAAAGACCCTCTTTGTGAGATAAATTATGAAATGTTTCCCCTCGTTAAAGCGGGATTTCAGGGCTGAACGGGGAGGATTACCGCCTCGCTGTTTCACTCCATCCCTCCCTGCTCCAGCCGCCAAACACCGTCCGCCTTTTTCTGCGATTATAACTAATAAATCCTCGCGGTGAGCTGCGATAATAACACCCCATCAAAGCGGACAAGAGCTCTAACTGCGTGCGTACAAAGCGTTCTCGGACTTGACACGCCTGGTTTCCTGTTTTCACTCGACTCTCCAAGCCCCCGGATGGTGAGAGCTGCCTGCACCCGGGCAGTAAACCCAAGTATAATGTTAGAAATCTATTAATCATGGCGCTAATCACTGTCATCGTTCCTACAGGAGAGTGAAAAGCCTTTAAAAGAGGAAAAGAAGTCCAGGTTTGCAGCCCTGAGTGTGTCCGCTCGTGTTTAAAAGCTGGGAATGATTTGGAGAGCCGTTACGCGCAGAGGGAGACAAGTGTTAGGAAAATATAAGCGAGGCTTTAACGATGTAAATTATGAGCATTTACAGGCAACACTTAAAACACAAGCCTCACCACACACACACACGAACACACACACGAACACACACACTTACAGGAAACTCTGTTAATATCAAATCTGATGATCTGGAGCAGGTGACTCCAGTTTGTGTTTCTGCTGTGAGGATGGAGGAGAAGCAGCTCGAGGTTAAAGCAGAGCTGCTGTTTATTATTTATTATTTCTTTTATTTCTATTTTATGATCATAATCATGGAGTCACAACAGTCCTGTAGAGCAGCAGCAGCAGCAGCAGCTATAACCGTCTGAGCCCCACTTTCAAAAATACTACCGAGAACACGAGCTATAAACTCACACACACACATGCACGAACACACACACACACTACAGCACAAAAAATATGGGCTCAAACAAAATAGGGAGCTATACACGTCAATCCCTTCACTGCCCCCCCCCCCCTTCTTGCATAATCAGCCGTATAAACTCTCATGTTGGTGAAGCCATCACTTCTCACTTCTCCGCTTTCTAATAATGAGAATATTTCATATTTATGATCTGATCCAAACTCACTCTCTTTCTGTGTGTGTGCCAAAATACACACACACACATATATACACACACGCACACGCGCACACACACACTCCAAACAGGAAAGTTGAGATGGTTCTCGTCTCTGAATTTGTGGATTTTTTGGGGTTTTTCTCCCTCAGAGACGCTGTGAAGGCGCTAACCCTGACTCTACACTTTCTCTCCTCTCTCTCTCTGTTTTTCTCTCTCTCTCTCTTCTTTAACTCTGTGGGGACTCGGCCACCGTGCAGCCAAATATTCCCACAGACCACAAGCAGTGGCTGTAAAAGCAAAAAAACGGCCGTAAAAGTTTAACCCGGGTCAGAGCTGCATGTCTGAAAACGACTTTCTCCCCTCGGCCCTGACTTTTTGGAGGGGGGCTCCTCTCTCCTCTTTCTCTCTCTCTCTGTCTGTCTGCACCCCCTCCTCCAGCATCCATTTTTGTCTGCTTTCCTTTCTTCCCCTCTCTCCCTGAGCCTCTGCCCCGGATCCTCTCTCGGGGTAATTAAACCCTAAAGTCATTCACAAGTTTTGGTTGCTGCCAATAAAACCATAAACCTGCTTTTGTCTCTGCGTAAATTGCTGTTTTTAAAACTACTTCTCCAACTTTCCTCCACATGTTTCTCCTCTCCCTGATCATTTTCTGTCTTCTCCTCCTGGAGCAGCAGCAGCAGCTCTGCTCCTCTGAACCCTCAGAAAATAACCTCTATGGTTCCGTTTCCTCACCTTGCGGCCTCATCCAGGGGAAGAGCTGCGTCGGCGAGGGGCTCTGCTCGGTTCCATCTGCGTCCTCTCCGCTCAGCACCGGCGCTCCTCCCAGCTTACAGTCGCTGTACTGGACCAGATCCGCGTCCTGGGCCCCGAAAAGCGTCTGTCGCTGCAGGGCGTCGTATCCGTAGAAGTTTCCCGGCTCTCCGTGGCATGTGACCGCACAGGGGCTCTGCTGGTACGGGTTGCTGGGCAGTGTGGAGGCGCTGTGGTGGTAGAAGTCCTGGATCTGCGGGGCGTGCTGGAAGGTGGCGCCGGAGCCCGGGCCGTACACCACGGTGGGCCGGCTGCCGGTCAGGTCCTGCGCGAAGCCGCACTCGTAGTAGTTTGGACGTAAAGAGTCTCCGCTTTTATATTTGGAGAAGAGCGAGTTGACGAAATAAGAGCTCATCTCTGTGTTTTTGTTTACAGGAGTTTCACTCAGTGTGGAGCAGAGTCACGGGAGGAGGAGGACCGGCGGAGGAAGCGACCAGCGGCTCGTGTTTTTCCTTTTTTTGCTGCTGTTTCTGTCGCGCGCCGTGAGGCAGACAAACACCGACACGCGCGGAGGGGAGGGAGACAGAGAGCGCGAGGCGAGTCTGCCGCCGGTGTCGGTGACCGTTGTTGTGGTGTTTCCCCCTCACGGCCACAGTGACGGACGCGCGGTGTGAGTAACGGTGACGGAGAGCAGAAACAACCACGAACACCACGAACACGAACACGACCACCACAAAAACAACAACAACAACAACAATCACAGCGAGTCCATAAAATCTCCACCGAGGAAGAAGAAGGAGAAAAAGAGGAGAAAGGAGAAGAAGAAGAAGAGGGAGAAGTTGAGGAGGAAGGGCTCCTGCGCATCACAATTCCGGTGTTCGCGCTGTAAGCGGAGCCCTGTCGCGGCTCTCAAACGGCTTTTCCGTGATTTACTCCTCTGCAAATGAGTTGTTTCATATTTTTTCTCCCTCCCTTGCTCTCTCTCTCTCTCTCTCTCTCTCTCTCTCTCTCTCTCTCTCTCTCTCTCTGGCTCTCTACCGCGCGCGCTCTCCCCCTCTTTCTCTCCCTCTCCTCCTGGCCCCGGTGTGTGTGTGTGTGTTAGTGTGTATGTAAGTGTGTGTGTGTGTGTGTGTCGGATTCAGGGATAATTTGCATCTATTATCAGCTCTTCATCCCATTGGCTTCTCCACGCACTCAGACAAACGCGCACGATTACCCGCACATACACATACACATACATACACACTCATATAGGGTCTAATACACTCTCTTTTTTTCCTGTTTTGCGCACGCACGCGCCTGTAAGCTTATAGATGATGGTCTCCAGTCTCGAGGAAGCTCCGCGCGTAAAGAGAGAAAGAAGAAGAAAGAAAGAAAGAAAGAAAAGGTGCACCAGCAAATAAAAGGGAGGGGGGGTGTTAATGAGAGTTCTGCCGCGTGCATCTGATCACAGAGGCACGTGCACGCGCGCGCACACACACACACACACACACACACACACACACACACACACACACACACACACACACCTCCAACCAGAAGAAGAAGAAGAAGAAGACGAAGAAGAAGAGGAGGAGAGCAGATCGAGTCTTTATTCGACTCTAAAGCTGAGATTGAGGTCGAGAGTTGATGGTTGGTGAATGGGTGAGGAGATGGGTGAGGAGATGGGGGGTGAGGGGGTGAGGGTGTGTTGAGAGCATCCTTCTCATTAATTGCTCTTTCTCATTTCTCCTCCTGAATCCTTAAAGCAGAGAGAGAGAGAGCGCGCGAGCGGAGTGAACGAGGCCCGAAAATGTCAGCGAGTCTGGGCGAGAGAGGTTAACAAACACTGAGGAGAGAGAGAGAGGGGTGAGAGAGAGAGAGAGAGGGAGAGAGGGGGGAGAGAGGTTCCTAATTGGTATTGGTTTTAACAAGTACTAGTCTATAAATGTAATTGAGTTTTAAAACCGGTTCTTGTCTCCATTTCCAGTCTGATCAGAATGAGGCTCGCGCGCTCTGATCATCGTATACTTTTATAAATATGATCCATAAACACGCGAGGAGGACCGGGGAGGTAATAGGCTCAGAGAAAGTGGCTGTAAACGCTTTAACAAACTATAAAGCTCCATAAAGCGGGGAGGGGGGCAGTGTGTGTGTCTGTCTGTGTGTGTGTGTGTGTGTGTGTGTGTGTGTGTGTGTGTGTGTGTGTGTGTGTGTGTTTGCTTGTTTACGTCCCGGCAGCACAGAAACAAACCGGGATGGTTTACGACGCGCCCTTTGCGCGACCGGAGGCCGTAAACGCCTCATCCTCGCCGGTATTTAAGTGTCATTTTCTGCGTGTTTGCCATACGGTTGTTGGTCCTTGTCCTGCAGGAGAGTACAGAGAGGTTTTCAAACAAGGAATCAGACAAAGACACACCGAGCAGGAGCAGAGCGTGAAAGTCAGAGGGCCTGAGGAGCCAAAAGTCTGAACTTTGGAGTGTTTTTATATCCTGACACAGTAATCGATGATGCAGGTGAAAGTGAATTTCCTCTCTTCAGTTTTTGCTTCTTTCATTTGATTTCCATCAGTGAATGTTTTCCTGTTTGTGTCGCGCTCAGACTAATAAAACCGTCATTACTGGAGTTTAATATATTCAGATTATACCGCGCTGACACAAGAGGCCCAAATGTTGCCAGCAGTCCTCTGAATTACACTCTCTGTTGTGGTAAATCAGCTGATTATACGCCCGACTTTCTGAGGAGTAATTGCCGCAGTATTTTTCCAATTTATTACCTCGAATATGATCTTATTGAAAGTTCAGCGCGCCGTGTTTTACACTTCTAATAAAGTGTTTGCTTATGAGATCTGCGCGGGGCTGGATTGTGCAAGAAAAAAAAAAAGAAACAGTAGTCCGGACAAATCACTAAATTAGAGGACAGGGAGAGAGAGTTAATATCTGAGGAGACACACAAACAGACACACAAACAGACACACAAACAGACACTCAACACAACAGATTTGGAGATGTTTAAAACACCAAACACTCTCCCTCCTCTGCGCTGATTCAACACTAAAATAATCAGGTAAAGGTTTGTCAGCACCCTAAAGGTGTGTGTGTGAGTGTGAGTGTGTGTGTGTGAGAGAGTGTGTGTGTTTCCTTACACTGAGCAGAGGAAGCCAAACACACACCTACACATTCCTGCATATTAAGAAGGGAAATAAGGTGCGTGCGTCCTTGGAGTGGATTGTGCACCAACACAAATAAACATTTCCTGGAGGTCTGCACGTATCCTGCACGCCCATAGGGAGAGTATTTTCCAAGGCCTCAACCCTTCCTCATCCTCCTCCTCCTCCTCTTCATCCTCAACCCAAAACACAAACTCTAAATGTCTCACACTCTCCTCTTTTCTCCTTAAATTCACGCTCAATAGAGAATAAATCAAGTTTCAGCCCTTAAAGAACAACATGCGTGTTCGTGTCCTCCACTGAAGTGAGCAGAGAGATTCACGGTTCATCCGTGGAGCAAGAGCGCCATCAAGTGGCAGCACGCACGAAGGCCACAGGGGGGATGTCGGCCTGTAATGCGGCTTTATGGTTCTATTAAGTGCGCACATAAAGCTACATAAGCTGCTTTAAAATAAAACTGCGGGTTATAATTGGAGGCCAGATGTGAGGGCTGATCTGGGATTTGAGGGAGAGAAAAAAGAGAAGAGGAGGAAAGAGAGAGAGAGAGAGAGCAGAGGAGGAAAAACCCAAACAAACCCGGATTATTCTGACTCAACATGAGCGAAACCAACAAAATTCAAGGAGTGTGTTTTTTTTTTAGAGAGGTTTAAACCCCAGAGAGTGAGAAATAAACATGCAGAGACTGGTAAAAAAAAACATAAGGTACTGAGTGGAAAATCTGTTCAGGGTGTGAATAAAATAAATGAAAACTGGGGAAAAAAACACTAGGTGAGTGGAGCTGTTATCTGGTTTAATGGTCAGATTTTTAGCACTTCTATTTTAGGCCTAAATGTGAGCTGGATGGTAAATAATATCTGTTAATATTGTTTTTAATTTTATACTCTGAGAAGATGTGGTTTTAAGATAACTATAAAACATTCTTAACCTGCTCTAAGACTTCTTTTTATTCCACAGATTAAATCATATTTTAATGTTTGATATCAGGTCAAATCTGTTCATTTATTTCTGTGATATAATGTTTTTATTTTAATAAAGGTGTAGAGTTGGTGTTAATTCAATAATTGTTGTTTTCATTTATTTGATACAAATTATCGAAATTAATTAAAATGAACACGACATTTTTTAAATATTATATTAAAACTTAAAATTCATGGAGGAGCAGTTTTAAATTATTCTTTAAATTTCTTTACGAGAAGGTTTAAAATCAGACATCCTATGTTACGAATAAATAGATAAAATAAATTATAAATAAATAGATAAATATAAAATATAAATCAATAGAAAAATAATAGTCCATTATTAATCATAAATAAATATATAATAAAAGGATAGATATATAAATAATATAGATAAATAGAAAAATAAATAAAAAGCTAATAATTAATAGATAAATAAACTATAAATAAACAAATAGTAAATAATACGTAGATAAATTATAAATAAATAGATACATAAAAAAATTAGAAATACATTTTATATAATTAAAAATAAATTTTAAATAAATTAGAAATAAATAAACAAATAAATAAAGACTATGAGAGTTGGGGGTGAACGACTAGCAGCGTGTGTGTGTGTGTGTGTTTGACAATCCGGTCAGACATCCTCATTTTATTACCGTCCATAATGGTTTCTTTTATGTTTGAGGTGTGTGTGTGTGTGTATGTGTGTGTGTGTGTGTGTGTGTGTGTGTGTGTGTGTGTGTGTGTGTGTGTGTGTGTGTGTGTGTGTGTGTTGGTTGTAAACAGACTGTAAAATCAGCCTACAGCTTCAGTTTCTCTGTTGTGTAAATCTCGTGGTAATCCTAAAAAACGCGAGAATTCCAGATAAGTAAACATTCACACTATCATCTAACTCTCTATAATCCACGGAATCTCTGCGTGTCCACAGAAGGTTCAACATCATGTGAAGATTCCTCTGTCCCCCCTCCTGCTGTGCAGACCCAGCCCGGCCTCGCTGTGACCTCAAGGCCGGAAAAGAAGCCTCGGGGTCGGGCACAGCTGAGCAGGTTTACCGGGGTCTGTCTGGGGTGATTTTCTTTCCTTTTGAGGGAGTTATTCCTTTTTTACAGCCCCTGATCTAAGGACAAAGACACACGGACACACACACACAAGCAGGGTGCAAAACACCCCCATAGAGCCAAACGGCCACAAAACCATAAAACTCCCCAAACCTGAAAAGACCAGGAGGAGGAGGAGGAGGAGGAGGAGGAGGAAGGATGGAGGAAACTCGTCCTTCCTTCTGTGTTGTTGTTTCTAAAAACACAAACTAACTCAAAATCAATCTAATCGAACCCTAAATTTGGCTCCTCCACAGACACAAACACGCGCGCAGGCCTCTCCATTACGCTCAGACTCTCTCTCTCTCTGTTTGACAGTAATGTACTGCTAATGTCTCTTTCTGCGTGTCTTCGGTTGTAACCTCCAAATAAATGATGAAGCAGGAGATCTGAAACATTTCCTCTAATATTTCTTCTGTCTCTCTCTCTCTCTGTGCCCCCCCTCCACTCCTCTTGCTCTTTTCTTTCCTCGTGTTTGCTTTACAGCCGTTTAGTTCTTAACCTTCAGAAATTTATACGCTATAAACTTTTATTGCCGTCATATTCTTTTATTGCGCCGCGGCGCAGCGTTGGATCCTCTTTCTCTCTCCGTCTTTTCCGTCTCTTCCTCTTTTGCTCTTTTTTTTTTTTACGACAGTCGGCGGCGGCCTCTTCCAGCCCCGCACGCATCCGCTCCCGCATCCCTCATCACCCGCACCCCTCCCCTCCTCCATACCCGTGAGCTCGAGACCCCCGGTGCGTGCAGAACATCCTGCTCCTCTCGTGCCGTTTGTTTCCGCGTTTGAAAATAGGAAGTGTGCAAAACAACTGACGTGAGAAAGACGAAGAAGAGGAGGAGGAGGAGGAGGAGGAGGAGGAGGAGGGAGCTGCTGGAGCTTTATTGGCCCGAGGGGAGAGGAGGAACTTTTAGATTTGTTTTTGAAATGAAGTCAAATTGAAGAGAAATGAGAGAAAAAGGATCTGACAGAAACGGGAGGAATAAACGCAGAAGTCTGAATGTTTCCCTAAGTTCAGCCGGAGGATCTCTGCGAGAAATCAAAACTGCTCAGAGGGTTCGAGGCGGCACTAAGAGAGAGAGAGAGAGAGAGGAGACGGAGGGGGACAATCCAGGAGGAGAGACGGAGAGCTGAGAGAGGCAGAGGACTGAACAGACTGACGGATAACAGACAAACAAACAAACAAACAAACGAGGCTGATCTTCAACTCTTCATCTTCATCCTGGATCATTTTTAATTATATTTACTCCTCTTCTGTTTGTTATTATCAGATTTAAGGATTTTCATTTTGAATTCAATCAGCAGATATCGAAGAGGAACATTTTTAATATTATAAATTAAAATCATAAAAACCTCATACAGAGAAGTTAATGCGTTTTAAAATGAGAGTTGACTTATTTCACAGATTATTTTTCAGCTCTAATACTGTAACTGTACTTTTTGGTCCCCTTACTGTTGGTCACTTAGTTTTTGTTGTTTATGTATATTGTGTGTATGTTGTCAGTGTTGTTTGTACTTTTTACATTATTGCTTTTATGTTTAATATCAACCTGCTGATGGGACTGAGGATGGAAATTAGTCATTTGGCTATAATCCCACATATTTACATGTAAATGTTCATCAATATGAACTGTTCACATTTTTAAAAATAAATAAATAGAAATAGAAATAATTGTTGCTTCATCTTTCTTTTCTGAGGTTTACTTTCCAGCAGCTGCTAAAATTGTATTTAATTAATATTTATAAATTATTCTTTATAATTAGTCTCTCTTAAATATACTTTAATGAGCGTCTACTCTGTTGATATTACATTCTGCACTTAAACATTTAAATATAACATTTTAAAGCTGCAGTATGTATATTTAAAATGATCATATTTATATTTAAACAGTTATTTCTGCAGATCATGTTTTAAACCATAAGTGACAGTATGAAGTTGAATGATGTGCATGTATTAATATCAGGATGTTTTTACTCTGGTGCTGCAGCTCTGTTATGTTGCACATAATATTATCAGTAAACAGATATTTATATCCTTATGCTTCAACATGCAAACACAACATCTGATCTACAAAAAAACTATGAATTTATTATTTCTACACCTGCAACAAAAGTGTGTACACGTTCTGTAATAATTATCCTTTGCACACATGAGATAATATGTGCACATGGTCCCCCTCATTTCATAATTACATGTGTGTATATAGCTAAAAGTTTCTGCATATAACTTAAATATCAGATTTTTAATGTTGGAATATTATCAGTTAATATTTCATATTTAATGTTTGTGTCTGTCTGCTCATGTCAGCTGATTCTGCAGGTGCATGTACATTTATTCTGAACATATATATATATATATATTTGTTTTTTTACAAAAGGTAATTTTTCGTCTTCGTTGGTTTTAAAGCTGTAACATGTTCTGTCTAATATCAGGATTATTTTGAACACTTTGCTGTATCTGATGATCCGATTATGACTTTAAGCTGCACCGTGTGTGTGTGTGTGTGTGTGTGTGTGTGTGTGTGTGTGTGTGTGTGTGTGTGTTGTTGTCATTACTGTATCTGCTGTTATCATTTGTGTTTCTGAGCATGTGCAGACCAGCTTCAGCAGGAGCAGCGGCGGCTGCGTTTGGCTCTCTGTCCAACTGTTAATGAGTCCAGAATGGCTGGTGTGTGATGTGATCCATGCAGCCGTTTGTATCAGAGGGACCATAACTCTCTTTGAGGAAATTTATGAATAAGAAAGATATTCTCTGCTGCTTGATGAATTATAGAAGCTGTGCTGTGTAAAACAGCTCATTCAGGGAGAGAGAGGAGAGAGAGAGAGAGAGAGGGAGGGGGGGCTCCAGCATCGTTCCCAGAGAGTGTGCCAGTGAGGCTGGTTATTATCTGTAGACTCTGTTTTAATATGAGAGGATAAAGTGAAGACATATTGGATTGGACACGTTCGCCTGCCTGAAATATGAATTTGCCATCAGCAGCAGGAGGAGGAGGAGGAGGTGGAGCACGTGGTTTGTCTTGTGCAGCTCATTTAGTTTCAGTAAAATATCTCTGATATGATGAAGCTTGTACCTACTTCAGTTAAATCACTGTTCAATGAGCTCATCTGCATTCCTACAGCGTCTGCAGACAGGATCTGGAGCGGAGAGGGAGAGAGTGTGAGAGAGAGAGAGGGGATCAGGCGTCTGTACAGGTGAGGGAAACCACTGAAGAAGAAAAGAAGAAGAACATCCTGTTATTGTGAGGCTTTAAATTAAGAATTTGATCAGATTTTTACTTTTTCAGGGACATTTAAAACCAACAAACCGAACAAATGAGAAAAGAGTTTACAGGGACTTTTTCTCTCCTGTCCTGTGAAGATTTTCAGATTAACAGTGTTTGATTCTTCATCATGTCCTGAGTTTTAGGGCGTCTATCATACTCACTTTCTGGACACACAGTCCTGAACATTTCTGGAAAATTTCAGGACAGTTTGACCCGCCATAGTCAGGTGTTTTTAAAGAGAGGAGCAAACATTTGTCCAGACTTATCCAGCCTCGTCTTCATGTTGCTCAAAGACAGATTTGTCCTGCAGAAAAGAGTGAAATCAGCCTCAGGATGTGCATAAAGATTTAACCTGCTGATGCATTTAACTGTGCAGAATTTTACCTTCAGTTTCCCAAATCAGTGCAGGACTTTTACGAGGAGGTCCAGCTGTGGTAGGGTCGTGTTTGCTCTCACATATTCAGCTCGTCCTGGAAATTTTCAGTCTATGTGGGTATAACTGAAGTGATGAAGTTATTAAACTTATATTCTTAGAAATATGGAAAATGGAAAAGGAAACTGGGATTTTTTTCAGGTAAAAGCTGCACATTTCACATCTTATAAGCGACA